TATTTTATTCTAATTAAACTAAATGTTTATTTGTAAATAAATTTCACTAAATTTATGAATTTATTTTAAATATAACTCGTAAACTCTTTTTTTAAACACTACAAAGGTGAAGGTTGTCATAATCTGGATGTTATTTTCATGCTTTAAACTAAGATTTCTGTCTCCTGATTTTCCATCCTCTAAATGAACAGGTAAAATAACAACAGTTTGGTTTCACTTTCAGATGACTTGATTTTCCCCCCATTGTTTGTCAAACATTTCAAGCTGAAATTTTCAATTACTGATATATATATATATATATATTCTGTTACTTTAGTGATGTACAAGGTCTTTCTCCACCAATCTCTAAAGAGTAAATATTGCTTATAACTGCAGCAACATTTACAGGTGAAAACAAAGCAAAACTTTGGACTACCAACAGTAAGAAAAAAGCATTCAAAAGGTACAAAAGATTCTTTCTTTCTTTTTTTTTGTTTCCCTTTTCACTTATTTATTTCTCTGAGTACTGAAATAATATAATATGAGCAAGTTGTGAAAGAAAGAGGAATAGTTTCTAATTGCTACTACACTGATGCATGATGCCCTAATCTTTATGTCATTAATGCGTTTCTCTTATTCTCCAATACAAGAAGTGCTTAATTCCATTATACTTATCTCATTAACTAATTTAATGCACCATTGTTAGTTCTCATTTAAATTATTGTCATCATGAGATTATTTGAAGTCAATGCAATATGATGTGTTTTAACTAAATGTTAACAAAGTAGCAAGTTATCAATGATGTGATATTTCTGTTTTGAAGTTTTGTTTTCACCAACACCCAATTCTCAAATCCTCAATTGCCACTTATACATGTAGATTCGAACCCAGTTTACAAATCCTCAATTGCCACGCATACGTATTAGTTTCTAAGTGATTTTTTTTTAACGAATATGTAGGTTTAAACCTTATTAACACTTTGATCGATAGATATGTAAATTCTTTTGTATATGAGCTAGCACTCCCGTAACACCAATATTAAAAAAGTTATATAACAGTATGGTTATGATTTTAAGAACTATTGTTCTAGAATTAATTTTTTAAGTGCAAGTTTATTATCTTTTCCTTATCTTTAATTAGGTAGTGTAGTTAACTTTGAGCTTACAATATTAGGTTGTGTTTGGTTAAATGTGTAAAAAAAAATTAGTTATAATTAAGATGTACAATCCATAATTGCATTAATCCCACTTATATGTTTTTCCCCAAGGATGGATTTATATGCATTATTTGTCAATTGAGGATTGGACATGGAATTGTTTTGGGAATTAGAATATTCTTTTTATTCAAATTTCTACAACATTTGTATTGGACTCACATCCATATTGAAATTGAAATTTGAATCATACTCAACGTAATTGTAAATCCATGTTTTTAGAATCTTATATTATTATTTAAAAATTAGTATCTACTATAAGTATTAAGATTGAGTTTGGTTCAAATATATATTCTATGAATACGAATAAAAATATAATATAAATGAGCGAATCATCAAAAATAAAAAAATATTACAATATGATGTCAATTTTATACTTAATTTAACTTAAATATATATTTTTTTAATTTTTCAATTAACGAGTAGAAGGAGAGAAGTCTATCATTGTCAAATTGAATATATGATTAAAATTTATTCGATTATAAACTAAATATAAATCATAAAAAATTATACGTGTTGAACGTTTATCATCTATGAACAAAATGGTAATATAATCTTTTCTTTCTTTTTTTTTTGGGTTGGCATGTTATTATTTGTGTCTCATTATCTCTCTATGATCTTCCTCAATTCCTCCTTTATGGACTGTGAATATCTTGTTCTGTTCCTATCAGGATTTCCAATTGATTGCTTCTTCTTTTTTTTTTTTTTTTTTTTTCTCCTTCACTTTTTAGTACTGCCTTAAAATCTTTATAGACTTTTTGGCATCTAGAGAAAGAGGAGGTGGTAAAACCATGAAAAAAGAGCAATGATACATGCAAATGATATTTATAAAGATGATGAAGAAAGTGCTTGTGGGTATATAAATGGCATATGTCACGGCTAAATCCTTGTTTGCTGCCGCCAAAACTTACTCATTTTAGGGTTTACTTTTGCTAGACAAAGAGCCAGAAATCTTCGTTACTGAGTAGTCAAGGTGTCCTCTCCCAGACAACACCATGTACGTAGTGGTCAACCAATTATTCACCGGTTTGATCATTTGTCTTTCACATTTTGCCAATGCAGTGCTGAGACGTGTGAAATTGGCCATCATCACCACTTACCAGATTAAACCCTATTTGCAGATTGCATATCATTCAGGTATGAGTTGGATTATGATATTTCTTTTCTAGAATATTAACCAATCTGTACTGTTGTTTGGGATTGATTTCATGTCTGATATACGAAAATATATATATATATATATATATATATATGATGGTTTGGAGAAAAATAAAATTGTTTGCTGTATGTAACTTTAAAAAATTTTATAATAATTTCGGGGGAAAACAAACAAAATCTCTTACTTGAATCACAAAATATGTTTAACTTTCTTGATCAACTTTTGCCCTTTAACATAATTCACACCTGGGTTTGTCCTAAATCACTGTCAAACTCCCATCTATTTTTCATAGATTATTAATTAGTGCTTTAACTGTTTCCATCTCTCAATTATTTCCACCATTGTTATAAACATCTTGTATCATCATATATGTTATTGGAGCTACTGTTTCTGTCTCCATAATAATTCTCTCTGAGTTCTAATATAAAGTCGAAGTTTTCGTAAGATATTCGGGAGCACAAATTAATGAGTTAGGAACTCTACAAATCTGATTGATTTTTTTTTTTTAAAAAAAAATTATATAACAAAATATTATGTGATTTTCTTATTAATCTAAATGTATGAAGTATTTTATAATTTTTCTATAGAATGGTTCGCATGGAAAATGAAAGGAAGAAGTTAACTATCTTACCAACCTCCATTTCGAAACTATATTAGCAATATATATATATATATATGTATAAATTATGGGAAAGGTCTATATCTATCCTTTTATCACCTTTCCCATATAGTGTATTTATATAGAACACAAGATTAAATATTTCTCATATTAGCTAGCTAGCTTCTTTTCTAATTTTTCGTTTTAAACTTGTAACTTTGACGTCTGCTGTCAATTACCAAATTAAAAAGACCGAAATATGTAGATTAATCAAGAGTGAGCCACGTGTATGTTGCCGCATGTATTAGTGTTATTTGATTAATCTGTATCTAAATGACTAGCTATATATATATATATATATATATTTGTGTATATATATTATATGTCTTCAAATACACGTGTGGATGCATGAGGAATCAATTATGTGAAGTGGAAGCAAATATATGTATGTATAAAGCCGGGCTAAGTCTTCTGGTTGGCTGCTCTTTTTGTTTTTTGTTTTTTTTTTTAATAGCTTGGCTTGTTTATAAAACAAACTGGTATTTGTTTAGGTCTCTAATGTTACATTTATGTATGATTATTATCTTGTAAACGAAGAAATATGTTGTAGTAAAGAGACAAAGATCACAGAGTTAGAGACAAAGATCACCACCCTCTCTCTCTCTCTCTCTCTCTATAGTAATTTTTCAAGTCCTTCCAAGATACAGATTATCTGAAAATTTTCATGAATATAGTTTCTAATTCACATATACTCTTTAGAAAAATAATAATTTCTGGGTTAATGTTAAAATATATTTAAATTTATAATGTTAATTGTAAACATTAATATTTTAAATAATTATTATTAGAACTTCTAGCGAGTCTTTATTCATTGATTACGTTATTGAATAGTGATTTAGACCGAATTTGATTCCTGTTTATGAGAAAATTATTGGAGTGTACTCTTGAACATTTTGGTAATTTTCCCAGTGCCTCTCTTTTTACTTTCCCTGATCAGGTCCCTCTCCAAACCGTTTCACTTAGACCCATTAACCACCATCTCTCTCTCTCTCTCTCTCTCTCTCTCTCTCTCTCTCTCTCTCTTCCCTGTAATGTAAGCAAACCCCACAACCATCAACATCATCATGATCATAGTTTCCACTCTATGAAGCCTCCTCTCTCTTTCTCTCTCTGCCTCCCTTCCTCTCCTCCTCCTTCCCCCTCTATCTTTAACATTTCTATAAAGTCTCCATACTGGTTTACATCAAACTAGTTGGGAATCCATCGTATATTATCCTCTTAAAGAGACAGGATCTGAAGAGCCTCTCTGATGAAAATGAGGAAACCAGACCTATCAGGGAAGACCAACAATGGCGGAAACAATAACAAGCTCAGGAAGGGTTTGTGGTCACCAGAAGAAGATGACAAGCTCATGAACTACATGTTAAGAAATGGCCAAGGTTGTTGGAGTGATGTTGCCAGAAATGCTGGTCTGCAGAGGTGTGGCAAGAGCTGCCGTCTCCGGTGGATAAATTACCTTAGGCCCGACCTCAAGCGAGGAGCCTTTTCGCCTCAAGAAGAAGAGCTTATCATCCATTTGCATTCCCTTCTTGGCAACAGGTACTGTTCATCTCTCTTCTCTTCTCTTCTCTTCTCTTCTGCTTCATTGTGTGTGTCTGTGTACATATATCACTTTTGCTTATAAATGTCGCAGGAAGATATATAGTTTTATACATGTGATGGAGGCATTGTTTATGATCTTAGTCTTTCTTTATCAATCTTGTTAGAGTTCTTGAATTTTAATCTGAGGAAGCTGTAAAATAACATAGCCATAGTTAATATATATATATATATATCTAATTACATGCACATACACATGCAACGCTTGCACACATTCATAAAATAATTTCTAGGGTCAATGTCTTCTACCTAATCCTTTTATTGACAAAATGACCATTATCTAGTCTTATTTTCAACAAGAAGAGGTCAATTTCTGTAAAATATACATAATAAATTCACACTATATATACACACATGTAGCTACTGGCATTAGACTGTGGAAAGAAATTAAAAGAAAAAGATGATGTTGGAGTAATTTAAACATTAAGAAAACTAAAGCCCTAAGTAGAGGATTCTAAGATGGTTGGTGGGCAAAGAAGACAAAAGTAAGTGTATGCTTTAATTTAAAAGATTATGCACATGCTCCTCAATATAGCTTACTGATTTTACTGGTTATTTATCTAGAGGAATGTTACATGTGTAACACTTGAGTAGTAATTAAATATTAATATTATTAAACTCCTGCAATGTAATTTATTTTAATATTACTGGACAATTGAGTCTATATTAGATTATTCTACTCACAGTACTTCTTAATTGACTCAGTATATTAATATTGTATTCTGTATGTACTTGATTTGATTCTTTATTTATAATTTTTATAAATAAAAATTTTGAAATTTATTATCGTGATCGGAAGTTTGTCCTTAAATTAGTTTACTCGGTCTCTTTCTTATAAAAAATTATAAGTTCAAATCGAATTTTGTTTTATGTATTTCTAATAACAATTTGTATTATGATATGTTGTGTATGTACCATCAAAATATATGTATATATATATACATATATGTGTGTGCTGATGGTATACATATATAGGAGGACTTAAGCTGAAAGGGACAAAATTGGTTGGGCATTTGGTGTCTCAATCTTCCCTTTGAGTCTAAAACACTCATCACCCTATTTTTATTCTAGGATTTAATTAACTTCCATGCAATCCATGCATTTACAAAATATCAATAAAATTTAGTTTAGCTATTTAGGTGATAATGCTATATATATGTATCTATGTAAGTGTAAATATGTGTGTATATATATATATATATAATCCGGCTGTCTCTATCTCCTCTTTGAGTTCAAGTTACTCATTCTATTTATTTTAAGTAAATATTAAGTTTTCATGCAAACCATGCATTTGAAAACTGATTTAATCAGACATTTTTTTCTTCCACAGGTGGTCTCAAATTGCGGCTCGCTTGCCAGGCCGTACGGACAATGAAATAAAGAACTTTTGGAATTCAACAATCAAGAAAAGGCTAAAGAACTTATCATCCACTGCCTCACCAAACACAAGCGATTCATCGACTGAGCTTAATAAAGATCCTGTCATGGCGGCTGCTGGAGGATCAGGAGGGTTTATCTCCCTGCAAGAACACGGCAATAATATGGCTATGTATAATAACATGGTTGACTCTTCATCCTCAACATCATCATCAATGTCAGCACCACCTAATTCCATGCAAGCTATGGCCTTCAACCACATGATGATCGACCCATTGGCACCTGTCCTCGATCGTAGCCTGAACATTTTTGGTTCTGCTGGTGGCGGGTTTTACCCGAAAGCAACAACGCCTTCATGCCTGGCTCAAATTGGGGTATGTGCTGATGTTTTATACGAACAAGAACCTTGTGTTAACGATATTGGAGTAGCTGGGAATCTATATATTCCGCCATTAGAGACACTGCAAGAAAACAGCATATCTACCACTGAGAATTATCCCACACCTGATTATCACCACAGGGAGATTAACATTAATAATTACTCTTCTAACAATGATCAGTTGAATAATAACAGTTTTATGAGTACCACAAACAGCTTTGATAACAACAAGAGAGTTGCAGAGAACGTAGCTGGGGTTGGGAATTTATGGGTAGAAGAAGATCAGCTCAAGTTAGGAGAGTGGGACTTGGAGGATTTGATGAAAGATGTCCCTTCCTTTCCTTTTCTTGAATTTCAACCTTAGCCATATATAATACTAATACTTTTCCTCTTTTTTTTTTTTTTTTTTTTTTTAACTACTCTTCAGGTTGATATATATATACACACGCACACACATATATCGTATATACCCACTTATATTTTCATGAAAACTATACTAAACTCCTAGTTTAGATATAGAGGAAAACCTTTTCTTGAGTTACCCAGGTCATTCTTGAAGCTTGTGGGTCTTGCTGGGTTCATAAGCTGACCTTCTTTGAAGTACTGTACTTTGCTGTACTATATTTTGTTGTGCTGTGAAAGCCAAGTTACATATACATATATAGATAAACCCTTTAGGTGGAGTTGGATTTAGAGTGAATAAGAGAGCACAGACGGTGATGATTATAGTCTTGTATTTGTAATTGGATTACGAGTTGGGTTGTGAGGAGAATGTGGTCATTTCACAAGCGCCGGCCTAGTATAATAATTGCAACAGATATTGGGAATGGGATGTATATGAATGTGTATAACAGCACAGAGAGGGACAACACCAAAAGTTTGATGCATGTACTTGTATAAGTTGCAGGAATGATTATACAAAACCATATATATACTGAGTTTTTATGTTTGTCATGAAACTAGTGGAAGATATATAATTAGGGTTGTATTATTCCTACACATTGATGCAGATATTGAAAATCTCTCTCTCTCTCTCTCTCTCTCTCTCTCTCTAAAGCATATTCCTACATATTCAAATATAATAATGTTTCACTATAATTCTTTAATATTTTCTAAACAAACTCAATTTATAATATATACTATTATAAAGATATTTTATAGTAATAGTATATAATATTTTTGTATACACAATTTTCTTGATTTTATTTTTTTTTAAATTTTTTGGGCATAAAATTATAGTAACATATAATATTTCGGGATATTTTATTAGGGTTTACTTATAATGAGGTTTTAACAACTTGGTTGAAATGTCAATTTCTAATTGCAAAAATCACGGTGGAGAGACTTGATAGAGTTAATGGGTCATTTTGCTTTTGAATATTCCCCTCAAATTAATTAACTTATTAATAGCTGGTTAGTTATGAATTAATGCTTGGATTCTAAAGGTTAATTATCATTCCCTCCACCTATAAATTACTTAAAAATTTTAATTAGTGCAAAGAAGGAACATACGTACATACATACGTACATACATATATACATATACATATACATATACATATATATATAGAGAGAGAGAGAGAGGGGGGGGGGGGGGGAGATTAGCAAAAGGGTTGAAGTAACTTGGGCAAGAAGTGACGTGAAATTGATCAAAAGTTTAAGAGGAAAAGTATTATTTAATTAACTTTCATTACAACATGGATAATACCATTTTAAATAATTATGATGATATAATTAAATAAATATATATTAATCATTTATAGGTTATTTATTATGTACCTTTTATTAAAATAAAAAAAAGAAACTGTTAAGCTAGAAATATGAAGTAGATATAAATATTATACGATTAAAATTAATAAATTTCAAAATTATATTTATTTAATCCTATGTTAATAAATAAATAAATTTAAGAAAAAAATTGAAAGAGAGTGGTAACCCAAATCATTTCGTTTCAGATTTTTAACATGTGATCATTAACTAACATGTGATTGTTATAAAAATGACGAGCATAATTAATTTGGAAAGAAAAAATGTGTCTAATAATTACTTTGATTTTTATTGTTAGTGAGGAGAGATTTGACAATACATTAAATAATTGACTTTTATTTTTTTTAGCAAATTCCAAAATTCACTTTTATTTTTATTTTTTAATTTTAATTATTTTTAAAAGGGTGTCCCATAAATTTATGGAAATATAGAAATTCAACCACAAAAAAGTAATATCTTCATGTTTATTTATATTGGATTTTATGCTCTTGTCTTGTTTCAAGCTTAGCTTGACCCACATTAGGAATTTTGACCTAAGTTTTCATATTTCAAAAAATAGACCCAAATTTAAATTATTAAAAATTAATATATATATATATATATATATATTTATATAAAGGCATGGGCGGTCCATTACGACTACTACAAGTTACAAAACCAAGTGAGGCCATAAAATGATTGTTCTTTCAGGGCCGAGGTCCAATTAAGGTAAAAATTTAATAGACGTCGCCTGAGAGATTCGAACTCTCGCGGGGAAACCCCACGTACTTAGCAGGCACACGCCTTAACCACTCGGCCAAAGCGACGCTTGTCTCCTCGAGCTTAAATCATTATTAACTTGAAGTCCGCTTGCGATAAATATTGGAAGGTGAAAAATAAAAATGCGTCGCCTGAGAGATTCGAACTCTCGCGGGGAAACCCCATGTACTTAGCAGGCACACGCCTTAACCACTCGGCCAAAGCGACACTTCTTAGTGTGTATATATTTATGAATTATAGGCTACGCATTAAAAAATATCCACGTGTTATATATGTGTAACTATGTATATAAACAGTTATACATATACGAAGTGTCCTAAATGCATAAGTACCGTTTTATGTATATCATGTATCCTGTTATGTATAAGTACCATTTATTTTATGTACAAAACTATTATTCATTTATTGTGTGTATATATACTTGTAAAGTATTCTTATGTATGCATATAACATACTAGTGTGTATATATATATATTATATATAAACAGTTATATTATATGTAATAAAGGCCACATCCCAAATATCAAGCCCTGTCCATTACCCGAGCCCAAAACCGAAATCAAAGACACGTCTCTTTAATTGACTATTGGATCCCACAAAAAGCCACACAACATCAGTCCAGTGTGGTGGCCCACATGCCACGTGTCACTATTGACTGACTCCTCCTCACTTCAAACTCTCTGCAACCTTTCAAGATCACCCGCAGACAATCTCTCCCCTCCTGAACTCTGCTAGTGCATTTATGTGGTTCCTATTCGCTGCCCCTCCCCGCTCCGCAAGGGGCAGCACCGTCATTTTGCTTCCGTTCATTTCCCACCTCACAAATCAAAATCCACCAGTCATAACTCTCCACCTCACAACTTTTCAACCTCATTCCGAATTGACTTGTTTCATAAACTAAGTCATCGGATCTCACGGCCGTAATTTTTTATTTATTATGGGGGCGATGTATGCTATAATTCCTTTTCTGAAGAATATCTAGCTGGCCGGTGGGTGGCCCGCCCGTAGAAAAGGGCACAAGAGGGTGGAAGGCGGAGATTTCAACCTCAAATACGGTATTCTTGTCCCATCTTTAAATCTTAACCGTAGATTCCTAACCCCGTATCCGCCGTTCGATGAAACTTACACGGCTCTTCTTCCTCTTATTCACAGGTTTGCCCTTCTTAACATATTAACTGAATTTTCTCTCCTCGCATTTCCATTTCTCATGCTCTGAAATTCAGAGCACTTTAACAATGGCGTCTCTTCCTCTCACCTCCTCTTGCTCTCTCGCCTTCCCTTCTAGATCTCGTTCTCTCAAATTCTCCGCTCTAACGCCTCTTTGCAGATCATCGACCCCTCCCTTGCGAAATTCCAATATCCTCAGACCAATTTTCAGTACTCCGTCTCTTAAACCAGCTCCATCTCTTGTTTCTTCTAAATCCCTTTCTCTTCTTCCTGCGAGAAAGAACAGGTTTTCGGTATCTAAAGTGAGAGCGTCGGCTGCCGCTGCCACCCCTGCTCCCGCGGCGCCAGTGCCAGCTTCTCAGCCATGGCAGGGCGCCGCAATGAAGCCACTCTTGGCGTCCATCGCTACGGGAGTTATTCTCTGGTTCGTTCCTGTTCCGTCCGGGGTCTCCCGTGAAGCTTGGCAGCTTCTCGCCATCTTTCTTGCCACTATCGTTGGGATCATCACCCAGCCGCTACCTCTTGGCGCCGTCGCTCTCTTGGGCCTCGGAGCTTCCGTGCTTACTAAAACCCTTACGTTCGCCGCTGCGTTCTCTGCCTTCGGCGACCCAATTCCCTGGCTCATTGCTCTCGCGTTTTTCTTTGCTCGTGGTTTCATCAAGACGGGTCTCGGCAACCGGATCGCTTACCAATTCGTACGGTTGTTCGGCAGCTCCTCTCTCGGCTTGGGCTACAGTCTCGTCTTCAGCGAAGCGCTCCTCGCTCCTGCGATTCCTTCGGTCTCCGCCAGAGCCGGTGGGATCTTCCTGCCTCTCGTTAAATCTCTGTGCGTCGCATGCGGCAGTAACGCCGGAGACGGAACGGAGAACAAGCTGGGATCGTGGCTGATGCTGACCTGCTTCCAAACCTCCGTGATCTCTTCATCGATGTTCTTGACGGCAATGGCGGCGAATCCTTTGAGTGCCAACTTGGCTTACAACACCATCAAGCAATCGATTGGGTGGACAGATTGGGCTAAGGCCGCCATTGTACCGGGTTTGGTGTCACTGATTGTGGTACCGTTGCTTTTATATGTGATTTATCCGCCATCGATAAAGAGTAGCCCCGATGCGCCCAAGTTGGCCCAGGAGAGGTTGGAGAAAATGGGACCCATGTCCAAGAACGAGCTTATAATGGCCGGGACTCTGCTTGTTACGGTATACTATTATACTCTGCTTTTGGATTGTTACTTCATGCTGATCGTTTTCATAAGCTTTAAATTTATGGGAATCGACAATTTCTCGTAGTTGGTTTGTAATGATTGTTTCCTGTTTGTTTCTGATCTTTGTTAGTATTTGCTTAGGTAGAACTCTCTGGTTTATGTTTCTTCGTCGCGTCTGCGCTTTTTTACCCCCCGGAAATTAGAAATAATTTTTATGGTCAGTTTTGAACCTAAAAACTATTAGCTGCTCCGAAAAAGAAATAAGGTGGAAGACGATAACTGTAATTAAATAAAATTTATTGTTCCTTACCAATATTTGAAATGAGCTAATTGCGTGATAGATAATTATTACATTCCTTGTCACTTTCTGGATGACACTGAAGCCACTAGATAGGAACAAGACAAGTAGAGGATACCTTGACACTGCATCTTCAAGTTGTGGTTGCCAGTGCTTCCTGGGTTGAAAATTATGCATGCTTGAATTGAACCTCTGTTGCGTGTAACCACTAACCACTCATGGATAATCACTTGTCCTATGATCATATTCGTTTTTACTAGAAGTCATTAGCGTGGTCCACCGTACTAACTTTGGTAGCTGTAAGGATCCCATATGTTATCCTTCCTCTGTACACTCAGGTTTCTTAGAGTAAAGAAATTCTACTAGGAATTCATCTGCAGAAATTGCCATTATTCTTAATGGGTTCAAGTTGTGCATTCTGTTAACACTTTTTCTTCTCAAGAAAAAAATCGTCCATTCTGTTTCCCTTCGGGAGGAGAAGAAACTAGAAAGCAATTGGAGTCTTGGAGATAGTATGTGACTGCATTGATTGCAGTTTTGTGCATTCTTTACCAACTTGTGATGTGAGATTGATATTGTAGAGTTGAGGGGCCAGATGGCATTTTTCTTTCCTTTTCTTTTTTTCTTTTCTTTCTCTGCTTGAGAACACTGTCCTCCTAATCCTATTTGGCATGGCTAGCATAATCACTAAATGGTTTCCTCAAATTTGCATAATGAAAAACGGTAGTTTCAGTTGAATTATTCAATTTGCATAAATCTATAAGCTTTTCACCAATCAGATCACGTGCTACTGTGCAGATACTGGCAAGTGTTTATGGTAGTGTAAGTAAAAAAATCATTTAGTAACAATTTAACGTGCACAAGCTGGCATGATGCTGTGTGCAATATATGTAGTAACATGTACTCTCTTGCCTTGTTGACTATTGTATCAGGTTGGGCTCTGGGTTTTTGGGGGAATTCTGAATGTGGATGCTGTTACTGCTGCCATTCTTGGATTGTCCATCCTTCTTGTGACTGGCGTTGTTACATGGAAAGAGTGCTTGTCCGAAGCAGTTGCATGGGATACACTCACGTGGTTTGCTGCACTGATTGCTATGGCGGGGTACCTTAACAAATATGGTCTCATCTCGTGGTTCAGCCAGACTGTCGTTAAGGTTTGTTCCATTGCCTTCTTACTGTTACATAGTAGTGCCTGCCTTTCTCTATATTGCTGCAATTTGTGATATATATATATATATATAGACTTAACTAATTGCATTTATATGGTTTTCCCATTGTGTTTTTTGGAATTAATCTTGGATTGTTTTCTTCATCTTACTAAAAGCATTCCTGAATTTATTTGAATTCGTCTCATTCCACTTAGGAAGGTAAAAAAATGAGAATTTTCACTATCGAAATTTGAAAATTTTGTGGAGTCAGTGTACTTAGGACTAGTTCAATAGTAATCTATCCACAGGATATCTTTCCCAACTCAAGAACTTGTGCCCCTGAAGAAATAGAAATGTTAATTCTCGTTTCTTTAAAATAAATACTCCATAAAGTAAGGAAAAGGCATCAAAAACACAAACAATAGTCTTTGAGAATTTATAATTCAATAGTAGTTTATCCACAGTATATCTTTCTCAATTCAAGAACTTGTGGTCCTGAAGAAAAAGAAATACCAACTTTCTTTTCTTTGAAAAGAAAATATTTCATAAGCTAAGGAAAAGTCATCAAAGCACAAACAATAGTCTTAGAGACTTTATACACCTTCATCTGTTCGATGCCATTATTCTTCTAGATCTTGTATAAATGGAAAGTTTGACAAATCAAACTGCGCTTCAGTTTCCAGGAATTTATAGCTATTGCATGTTCTAGATGTATTTGAAAAATATATTTTTCTTCCCAAACTCATGTGATTGTTGTTGCTTACTCTAAAAGCCCCATAACAGGAAAAAAACCTACCATCTTTTCGCTTCAATTTGCTTTCTTGCTTATTTATAAAAAATGCAAAGTTTTTCTAGGTTTGAATGCGTCCTCTCAATCACTTGGGGTGTTTTTTCTTTTCTTTCTCTTTGCTGCTTTTACATGCATTTGTTAATAAGTATCAATTCTGGGTAATATTTTTTTGAGTGGTATTCTGGGTCATATTAAAGACTGAAACAACTCTTATATGAAGATATCAGAATCCATTTTAATTTGGGTGTCTGCAGAAGTGGACTTGTACTTTTTCTTGAATGTCTTCAAGAATTGTGCAACCCTTCTCTCCATAGAATTTTTCATGAGAGTTCATTCTGAATTTGGGATTTAGACTGCATGTTCCTGCATCGTGTTTTCTGATATTCTGCTCCACAATCTCAAGAAGAAGGGTTTACTACCATGGTTCACAATAGTATATTGAAATATGAAATAGATTAGCTTTGTACAATAATCATTTGACTTTTTGTAGGAACCAAAGAACTATACAATAATATGTAATTATTATACGGATTCATCAGTGGCCATGAAATGGTAGAAAATTATTACAGGAGCGTGAAGTGTCCAAAGCACTATAAAATTTCTCCTGGAAGAAATATGTTTTGCCTAATTAATCAGCTCCGACTATTTTACATTAATCAGATATTGACCAATGACGCATTTCCTGATATTTTACGCATATTATTATCATTATTAATCAATATCTGATAAATTTTTAATTAGAAATGTTATTCAACTCTTTCCCGCAGTTTGTTGGAGGGTTGGGTCTTTCATGGCAATTGTCCTTTGGCATTCTGGTTCTTCTCTACTTCTACTCCCACTACTTCTTTGCAAGCGGGGCAGCTCATATCGGTGCCATGTATACAGCCTTCTTATCTGTTGCCAGTGCTCTAGGCACTCCACCCTACTTTGGAGCTGTAGTGCTCTCATTCCTATCCAACCTCATGGGAGGGCTCACACACTATGGCATTGGCTCTGCCCCAGTTTTTTACGGAGCAAACTATGTCCCTCTCGCCAAATGGTGGGGCTACGGGTTCATAGTATCTATCGTAAACATCCTTATCTGGCTTGGAGTTGGAGGAGCTTGGTGGAAGTTCATAGGATTGTGGTAAAAGAAGAAGGTTTATAAAACTTGCCGACCAACATTAGCTATACTCTAATGATTTTTGGTTTTTCGCCCTCAGGATTCAATCTGCCATTGTTTTCTGTTTGGTTTTGGGGAAGGTTATTAGTTTTTTTTTTATTTATTTTTTTTTTTTTTACTTTTGATTCTTTGGATTGGAAATAATCTGATCCAGAAAAAGTTTATATTTTAGAGGAGAAATTAGATTTTGTACCCAAAATTTTGACATGACATTATAATTTGCCTGAAATTTAAGAATATCAATGACATAGTGATTACTCTGCTGCCTGAATCTTTTTTAAATGTGAGTTAATTTTATATTATTTTAAATAAAATTATTGCAGTTTATATTATATTTTTTAATTCTTTGGTTCTATTGTAACTGAAGTTAAATGTGATTTAATTCTATATTACTTTAAGTAAATTTATTGCGGTTTATGTTATATATTTAACATATATAAATTTTAATCTTTGTATATTTATATTTGAAGTTATATTTTATGCAAATTTGTCTCAGAAGCTCTGATAATCTAATTTGCAAAGTGAGGTTAGAATATGTACTTCTAGTTGTGGTACACAATTGAGATGATTACTTTATTTATTCTGTCAACTCAAATCAAATCATTAGAATATGGAATCCTACAAATACTTATGACTGTGTCCTATCACTATCTATACATATTAATAAGCAATTTATATCAACATTCTTCAAAATCAGAAGTTGGGAAACGTTGCTTTCATGGCAGGTTCTGGATTCCACTGAGAGGTATATATACATAAATACATACTCTGTGTATATATAAAATATATAAATATATATACACACACATATATCCATATGTACATCTAAATACAAGTTCTTGAAACATGTATAAAAAAAAAAAAAAAGGTTCTTGAAACACAGAGAATTACTGTAGTACTTGGATTGTTCGGTACTATATATTTCCATATCAAAGAATAATATTATCAGTTTATTATCTTTCAATCTTCATCGCTTCATTTTCCTTTATTTTTATCCTTGAATTAATGCTTCCTTAACGATAATGATTGTTATCGTCATCATTATTACAAAAACAGAGGTGGATGTCTTCTACATGATAGTGATGGACATGTAGCCGCCATTGATTAGCATGCGTTATCTCTGTCGAACAGTATGTATATACGCATACCCATACATATACATGCGTATATCGTATATATAGTGAAAAGGGTATTGTTCTCTTTCAACTTGGAAGCAAAAGCACCTTTTGCTAGGTTCCCTGACACGTGGATCACCTTTGTGCCTGGGAAGAAAATGCTCTACTTGCAGACAGGACAAGTAGCGACCATAGACAAAGTCCCATGTGTATCAGTCTACCCTCACGTTTTTACTCCCTGTAGCATGATGTAGCATCCCCTCCTTCTCCACCAGGCTTGCGTGTATATGTACGTGTTTATATATATATAATGAAAACGAGACTCATATTAATTGTTATTTGGTTTCTTCTAGACCCGGGTCCTGAAATTAGGTGGGTTTTATTGAATTATACGAGAGGAGATTTCAATGGCTTGGTTTTCCTTTCTGCATGTTGTCTTTTGGGTGAGCATGAGCTGGATTTCTTGTCGAAGTGAAAAAGAAAAATCTTGATTCACTCTCCCTTTCCCCTCTTTTCCTAGTTTTTCTCTTTAATGGGTTTGATTTAGAAGGTGTTTTCCTCTCATGGGTATTGAAGCTTTATGGCTACAATGTCAGTTAAGCGTCACATTTGCCTGTGACACTTGTCCTTGCATTCCTTAAACTGGTAAAGGTGCTTGACTTTTTCTCTCCCATCTGATTTGTGAATCAAAGTATTTGGTTAAAGATGTGATTGATTGGTCGGTTTTAGGAGTTTCTTCTGGGCAAGTTAAAAAGGTTTCCTTGAAGGAAGCTTCTCTGGAAGCTTGCTAAGAAGGTGACATTTACTTCTTTTTCTCTCTACCTTTAAACATATACATATATATATATATTTTTTCTTTGAGGACTTCGGTCTCAAATAGGTATTTAAATCAAGAAAAATGAGTGAATTTTTTTTATAAGGGTAGGTGAAAGTAGCAATCAAGCTTGTTATTTATCCAGTGAAAGACCTACTTTAATCGACATTTCTTCTTGGTGATCGTCTTTTTTAACTTTTTTCCCCTTCTAAAAAATCGCTTTTGGAGTCATTATACAGCTTTTTGCTTGCTTTTTTTTTGTTTCTGAGTAAGCATCTATTGTATTTTTTAATCTTTTGAACTTCTTATTTTTCTTCCACTTCTTTCAAGTATTGATAATGGATTCCCTATTGGGATTAATGTACCCTTTTTCTTTTCCTGCTTTCATTTGTTTCTATTATATTCCTTAATCTTCTGGAATTGATGTGCAATGTTTCAAGTAGTAGTAGTTGTTCTTCTGCTTCCTTCTAAATATTGTTGATGGAATAGATGATGATGATGATGAATTTGCAGGTATGCTGAGCAAAAGTTAAATGTTTTCATTTTGACATCATTTACTTAGCCAACTCTGCTTTCTGTGAACAACTTTTTGTAAATTAAATCATCCCATGATGGCTGGCGATGGTGATATATACCTTGCTGAGGATAGGACGACAAATCCCATCTCTATTTTATTCAAAGATGCCAGGTATGAAAAAGATATTTCACCTTCCACTGTCTAATTCAGTGTTTAAAAACACCAAGTTAAGATTTGTCACTTACTAAAAAGTTGATAAATTCGCTTTTGATAAAACAAAGATGGTCTTACTAAAATCACAGTCTTAGATTAGAAAATATTTATCTTTACTCTTGTACTAATGGGATCCTCAAGTGTCGTGTAATGTTGAAATCACAAAGCCAAAACTTTATTGCATGACTATCTTAATTTTTGCTATAGGGTGCCATTTTGGCTATCAACTACGAATTTGATTGGTATGTGCAAGTTGGCTTTTCCTTCACGCTCTTAATTTACAAGTAGTTCCTCCATTTCAAGCTAACCATAATTAAGACTATGGTGAGTTTGTTTCAAATTTCAATTTTATGGAATGGTGATAAAAATGCAATACAGTGGAGTAAAGATGTGAATAAAAATAAGGTACTTCTGTAATTTTCCATTACGAAATAAGAATATAAATCACTATACAATTGAATATATGAATGAAGTTGATCTAATCTTACCCAAATCAAGAGTTAGTAATAGACTAGAAGTAGAATAGATTTAAACCATACACAGAATTCGCATTAAATGCTTATTCTTTGGTCATTATTTTTTCAGAAGGCTGAGATTGATTCAACAAGTTGTTAACTGGGTCATGTTTTCCTTTAAAAGATATATGTAAGAGTTAATCCTTGAATTTGTGATCTCGTGAGCAGACTTGTACTCAAGTTGGATGAACTTGGTCTGGAAATAGCACAAATAGCATTGCCTGCGGCACTGGCTTTGACAGCTGATCCTATTGCCTCACTGGTTGACACAGCATTCATTGGCCAAATAGGTATCTCCTTGTTTCTGTCTCCATTCAGAGTCATCACTACTTTGGCCTTTTTTCTCATTTTTCCTCCTGAATAATTGCATCTTTGTCAAGTATACCGACTGGCATACTCGTGTTTTATTTTTCTTATGACTGCTTGAATAGCCATTTTGGTGCATGGGGAGTTGTTTTTGTTGATAGATGGCAATTATTGACCGCAGGTGCTTTCCGGTTCTTACAAAAAAATTGTGAATAGAAACATAGTTTAATCGGTGGATCAGCATGCTAGTCATTATGTCCAGAGAATGCAACTCAAAATCATGATTCTTCGCTTAATGATTTGAACGTATAATACCTGAATTCCTGTGTCACCTTGATCTCCTCCCCCTCCCCACCCAAAATTGGCCTTTTGATTAATCACTTTTTACATGTGAAATTTTGAGGTAAAAGGCTTTTTATATTTTGCAATTTGATAACTCATAAAGGTCAATATGACTTCGCTTGCAAATGTGATTCCTACTCACAAGTGCATTAACTTATCTCAGTGGACATTTATCTGAAAGTATATATGCAGGATCTTCTATGTTCTTGAGCATAGTCAACCTTCCCATGCATACCTTCTAGTGCTATATTCATCTCATGGCTGTATTACCATATACTTAGCTTCCACAGAAAGAAATGAAAAAAGATATTAAGGTTTGTATAAATACTTACCTCGTTTGTGCTAATTCATACAGGTCCAGTAGAACTCGCTGCTGTTGGAGTTTCTATTGCTCTATTCAATCAAGTATCAAGGATTGCAATATTCCCACTTGTCAGTGTCACAACCTCTTTTGTTGCTGAGGAAGATACTGTCGGAAGAGTGACCCGTGAAGGACAAGAGAGTGAATACTTAGAATCAGGCTCATGTATAAACAGTGAAAGCAAGGAGTTGATACCAAAGAATGGTAAGCAATTCAGATTCTTCACTTTGAAATTCTCTGGCAATGACCTTTTAATCCCTGTTTTTGCTAATGAACACCTTGAAGTCTTATATGTCTCCACTAAACTTCTTTGGAGTCTTATCTTTGACAGCTCATTATATTCTCCTTTTACAATTCTTTTTTGCTAAGTTTCTATTTCTCTTATTTCAGATTCTGTTGAGGATCCGTGCAAGTTAGGATCACTTCCCAACAGCTTTTCTATCACTAAGCTTGAAAATGAAAGAAGACATATACCTTCAGCATCATCTGCGCTGGTTATAGGTGGCATTCTTGGCCTTATCCAAGCCATATTTCTCATTTCCAGTGCAAAACCACTTCTAAAGTTTATGGGAGTTAGCTCTGTAAGTACTTCTATTGGACAGTAAAGAAAGGGCCTTTAATTTATTTTTTCTTTAAATATATCCAGAATTATCTACAGCATACCTATCAGTAATAGGGCAACATACTCCTTCATATAGGATTCCCCTATGCTTAACCCGGCTCAACAGTACTTAACATTAAGGTCACTTGGTGCCCCTGCTGTTCTTCTCTCGTTAGCACTGCAAGGAGTCTTCCGTGGATTTAAAGATACAAAAACTCCTTTGTATGCAACTGGTATGCTATAAATCCTTTTCATCACACAAAAGAATAGTCTAAAAAATTCTCTTTTTTTTATTTTTGTAGAAGATAAATTCGACTACTCTGATCCATTTTCTTATTTGATCTTTCAGTCGCGGGAGATATAACAAATATAGTCCTGGATCCACTTTTTATATTTGTTTTCCGCTTGGGTGTCAGTGGTGCGGCAATTGCCCATGTCATATCTCAGTAAGTTATGCACAGCTACACTTTCAAAAATCTTAGCAAATATCACCTTTCTGCATTTTCATAGTCTGGAATTATCAATACAGGTACCTGATTTCAGTTATACTCTTGTGGAGATTATTGGTAAAAGTTGATCTGTTACCTCCCAGTGTCAAGCATCTGCAATTTGGTCGATTTCTTAAAAATGGCAAGTGCTTTCATCATTTCATACTAAACATTCTGAAAATTACTCTTTAAATAATCTGAAATTCAGAATTTCTACACTAGTCAGAGAAGACAGATCTTGTAAAATAAAGAATAAGTTGTTGGGTTCTGTAAAGAAATTATAGTTGAAATCCATAATAGCATCTCCCTTTTTATGTATTACTCCAGGTTTTCTCCTATTAGTGAGGGTAGTGGCTGTAACATTCTGTGTGACTCTGGCTGCATCACTGGCTGCACGGCAGGGATCAACATCAATGGCTGCTTTCCAGGTCTGCTTGCAGGTTTGGTTGGCAACATCTCTTCTGGCTGATGGTTTGGCTGTTGCTGGACAGGTTAGCAATGGATTTCTCTTTTCTTTCTTTCACTTTTTGCGGCAAGTACAACTGCTGCAACAATTTTATACATTATCATCTTCTCAAATCAATCGACAACATAGACTGTTAGTTTGAAATTTCAGAAACTCTGTGCTATATTCAAGTTCCTCTACCATTTGAATTTCTTATTTAACTTTTATATTTACTCGACTCCGTCCTATATTCAAGCTCCTTTAGCACTTGTACAGGCAATACTTGCAAGTGCATTTGCACAAAAGGACTATAACAAGGCTGCTGCCACTGCCTCTCGAGTATTGCAGGTATGCCGTTGTAAATCAAGAAAATCAACCCCATGATCACATGACATGATCTTTCCAACCTTACTGACAGTTCAATGTTACAGTTGGGATTGATTCTTGGATTGGCACTGGCTGCACTACTTGGACTGGGATTGCATTTGGGAGCGCGATTATTCTCAAGTGATATACATGTTCTTCATCTAATTAACATAGGCATTCCGGTATCAACTCTTCCCCACCCTATGAGAAAAGAAAGAACAGAAACAAAACTTTCTGTCCGCTTAAGTCAAAATTTGTGTGGATCTAACTTGTCTTTTCTTCTTTCCTCCGATTTCATATCAGTTCGTTGCAGGCACTCAGCCTATAAATGCATTGGCATTTGTTTTTGATGGTGTCAATTTTGGGGCCTCTGATTTTGCATATGCTGCCTGCTCCTTGGTATTTCTCTTATCCCTTTCTTATTATCAAGATTAGATTAAGGAATTATTGTTTTCAAAATCTAGTCTGCAAAATTATCGCCTGGCCTGCTGCATACAGTAGAGAACTGTGTTTATTAGCAATATATTTCCTGCTCCTTTCTGCGGAAACAGTTTGAGATTAGAATTTCATGCCCAAAATATTCGTTTAATCTAATTTTTAACCATCCATTTGGCCAAACATTTAACTTGATATTGTCTATTTGCAGGTTATGGTGGCCATTGTAAGCATTTTATGTTTGCTTGTTCTCTCCCCAAGCCATGGCTTTATTGGACTATGGATTGCCCTTACCATATATATGAGCCTTCGTGCATTCGTTGGCGTTTGGAGGTATCAAACTTTCCTCATCACAAAAATCTTATTCTTTAAGCTACACTTTTGCTATAATTTCCAGTCCAAGAACAAAGCATTAAGAAAAGTTAAAATCTGGGTAAAACAGCCTTGCTCTATTCCAAACTTTGTCACATGAAATTACAAAAGCAACAATAGATTTGAACTGCAATAAGTTTCATGTGCAAGAGAAGAAGTTGCTTGACCCATCAGTTGTCAGACAGAAAAGTCTGTCAATCGCAAATTGATTCTGATCTCTTCGTATGCTTCTGCTATTGCAGGATAGGGACCGGGACTGGACCTTGGTTCTTTCTCAGGCGCTGAACGTCGCTAATAATAAGCATGTTTTTGTCTCCTGGCTTGTTTAATCTTCCCAGAGCTAGAATTTTGCTTCCATTGTTTTCTTTCCATGAAAACAATTTTGGCAGTGTAGGAATCTTCTCTTGTTTCTCATGTATTTAGTATGCTGAGCTTCGATGGCTGGACATATTCTCCTGTATTTTGTTGCATGCACAAAAAATGTAAAGGGCACAAACTTTCCACCTAAAGATTGGAGACAAGGAAAAGAGAAAAGAAATTTAGTACATGAGATTCAGCACTGGGGTAATTTTTTTTAAATTTTTTTATGAACTAATGAATATAAATAAATAGCGCGAAATTTAACTAAAATAATACGTGTAATGTATTTAAAATTCTACTTTTAACCTTTTTTAAGATGGAATTAAAAATAAAATTTGAACTTGAATTATCTATTCCAATGAGAGTTTGAATTAGTGTTTGTTACTTGAGGTACATTTTTTCATTGTATAATAAGACATTTGAATTAGTGTATATTCCTCTGTCTATAAAAAATTATGGGTTTGATTCTAAGTTATATATTTTTGTGTATTCTCAATAATAAATTATATTTTGATATATATATATGTGCTACATAATTATGAAATTACCTTATATTTTATGGGTCTATTTTGGTTTTACCAAAAATACAATCTTTTTTAGGTGCATTTCTTAAATTTAAGAAAAAAATAGTACATAGGAAAAATTAGCTTTTACAAAGACCAACAAAGTTTTTTTTTTAAAAAAAAAAAAATGATTTTTCAGGTTTTAGCAGGTCGACCCGGCCCGCCCAATCGATAACCTTAACTGATAACGGTAACCTTTTTCGACCCGAATAACAGACATTATCTTCCGTTTCTTCCCGCCATGTGAGAGTCTCTCTTCAATGAACTTCTCACTAGCTTTAAGTCTCCAACAATTCCCTACCTTCCCCAAGAAAACTGTGAACAAAAAAGACCTCAAGAAGGACTGGAATTCAATCATCAAACGCCAGGCCAAGCTCAAAAATGACAGAGCAATTCTCTCAACATATTCCCAGATGGAATCTCTCAGCGTATTACCCGATAAAGCTTTGATGCCTCTCATTATCAAGGCATGCGCAAGGTTGAATGCCATCGAGAGGGGCAAGAGGATACATTTGAACATTCGGGACACTGAGTTGATACAGGATGTGCGAGTTCGGACTGCTCTTATTGATTTCTATTGCAAATGCGGCTTTCTCGAGGACGCCCGGGACCTGTTCGATGAAATGCAGGAGAGAGATTTGGTTTCATGGAACGCTATGATTTCTGGGTATGCCGGGAGTGAGGAATATGAGGAGGCTGTGTTCTTGTTTATGGAGATGAAAAATGAGGGTTTAAAACCGAATGCAAGGACTATAGTAGCGTTGCTTTTGGCATGTGAAAACATGTTGGATAAAAGATTAGGGCAGGAGATACATGGTTATTGTTTGAGGAATGGACTACTTGATCTGGATCCTCATGTGGGTACTGCTCTTATTTGCTTCTACTTGAGATATGATGTGAAAATTTCACGTCTTGTGTTTGATTTGATGGTTTTAAGGAATATCGTTAGTTGGAATGCTATGATTACAGGGTATTTCGATGTTGGAGATTATTTCAATGCTTTGAATCTTTTTATTTGGATGCTCCGAGGTGGGGTTCAGTTTGACCAGGTTACAGTTTTGGTTGTTGTTCAAACATGCTCAGGGTTTGGATGTCTTAACTTGGGCGTGCAGATTCATCAAATCAGTATTAAGTTAGGGTACATAAAGGATTTGTTTGTAATAAATGCCCTTCTTAACATGTATGGAGACCTTGGACATTTACAGTTATCACATGCTGTATTTAGTTCCATCAGTACGCACGATGTTGCTATATGGAATTCTATGATATCCACAAATACTGAATATGGGTGCCATGAGGAAGCTGCTAGTTTGTTTATTAGAATGCGTACAGAAGGCATCAAAGAAAATGAAATAACTATCAGTATTCTATTGTCTCTATGCGCAGAGGCAGTAGATGGGTTGAAAGAAGGGAAATGTTTACATGCCCATGCTAGCAAGAAGGGAATGGCCATGGATGGTTCTCTTGGAAATGCATTTTTAAACATGTATTCTGAGCTAAACTGTGTGGAATCTGCCCAAAAGGTTTTCTCTTTGATGAGTAAGGTGGATGTAATTTCATACAACACCTTGATTCTGACACTAGCCCAGAACAAGTGTATACTTGAGGCATGGGAACTCTTTCAAGTGATGCGAGAATCTGACACTAAACCTAATGCCTACACAATAATATCTATCCTTCCCATTTTTGAAGATGAAACTTTCCTACATATTGGAAAATCAGTCCATGCTTTTGTGATAAAACATGGTATTGAAACAAATCCATCATTAGACACTGCACTTAGTGACATGTATATGAATTGTGGTGATGATTCATCAGCCAGGTATATATTCGACGCTTGCCTTGACAGAGATTTGATTTCATGGAATTCTTTGATTGCGAGTTATATTAGAAATGACAAAGCAAAAGAAGCTCTGTTGCTTTTTAACAGAATGATTTCAGAAGTAGAGCCCAACTCCACCACCATCATAAGTATTCTATCTTCGTGCACCCATCTGTCTAATCTGCCCCATGGTCGATGTTTGCATGCCTACGTGCTGCGGAGATATTCCTCTTTTGGTTATAATTTATCTCTGGGAAATGCTTTTATAACAATGTATGCAAGATGTGGTAGCATGAAAAATGCTGTAAAGATATTTAAATTACTTCCAAAAAGAAATATTATCTCATGGAATGCGATTATAACTGGTTACTGTATGCATGGACGGGGAGAGGATGCCGTGTTTGCCTTTTCACAAATGTTAGATGATGGTTTCCGACCAAATAGAGTAACCTTTTTGTCTCTTCTATCTGCTTGCAGCCATTCTGGTATGATAGAAAAAGGATTGGAGATTTTTCATTCCATGGTGGAGGAATTTAAAATCACCCCTGAGGTTGCCCACTATGGCTGTGTGGTTGATCTCCTTAGTCGTGCAGGCCATTTAGATGAAGCTAGAAAGTTCACTGAATCCATGCCTATTAAACCGGATGCATCAATATGGAGAGCTCTGCTCAGTGCATGCCGTGATCACTGGGACACTAAACAAGCTGCTGCTATATTTGAAAAACTTGCTGAACTAGAGCCAAGAAATGCTGGGAATTATGTTTTACTATCTAATATTTATGCTGGAGCAGGTTTATGGTCAGAGGTAGGACAGATACGGGCATGGCTCAGAGCAAATGGCTTGAGAAAGACTCCTGGAGTTAGTTGGATTGTCATTAGAAGTCAGATTCACTCTTTTACTGCTGCAGATAGATTGCATCCTTTTTCCGAGGAAATTTATGCGATTTTGAGTTCTCTACTGTCCTCGATCAAAGAAATGGGATATGTACCCAACTTCCACTGGTTATTACATGATGAAGGCAGTTAGGATATCACCAGAGAACTGTTGACCCATGACAAGAAACTTGTTCGTGTATTGGGTGCCGGTATCTGTAAGGAATGCTGCCAATGAATGACTAAACAAGGACAAAAAACATTCCTAGGTGGTAATCCTACTCTTTTTTTGGGGTGGCAGATAATGGCAGAAAGGTTTCAATATTATAAATCTATCAAGATGTGAACAGACCATTGAACACCAATCAGAAACTCAGGCCAAAATTCACTTCATTTTATTTCAAAAGTGATGACAGTTGCAGTCATCCAGAAGTGAAGAACATAAGTATGAGGGCACAGGACATACATCTCGCTTATCAGTCACTAGTCTTGTTTATGATCCTGAACCAGCATTCTCCAGCAGGAATGCAGAAGGATGCAGCAAAATGCTTCAGTTTCTTTCTAAAATATTGGAGTTAATCTCCACTTGGTGGATAGTGGATGAAACAACACATTAGGTGAAACTAAATTTCACATTTAGTCTGAGAGATTTGAAAGAATCTATGAACCTCGAACAAAAGATCCAGAATCTGAGGATTGACTGCAAGAGAATCGACTCTCATGACTGCTGGAAACCGAAACAAGTGCAGAATAGAAGCCAACCTTTCCCAATGTTCCTGGCTCAAAGAAACAAGACGCTGTCAAGATCAAGCATTTGCAGCTTCTTACTTAGTTATTCCACTAAACGATAATTGGGTCAGAATTTTCATATGGTATGAAGACACTGGCACACAAAGTTAATCTCATATGGGATTTAAGTGTCAAAAAAATATGTGATTGTAGAGTTTTATATAATAATCAAACTTAATCCACTTATATTTTTGTATAATTCCAATGTGGAGTAATATTTTTACAAAAATTCAATTTATATTGTATGTTATTCCTGTAGAGACCTCAGAAATATTAAAAAAAATAAGTTATAAATTAAGTGGGGAAGCGTAATAAGAGTTCAAGATTTACATTTCTTACACAATGACTTAAAATACCAAACAGTGTTACAGAATTCACTCTCTTGAAAGAAATGTAAGAAATAAGGAAATGAACGGAAAATAAAGAAAACTAGCATCTACTCGCAATCATTTTGCGAATCGAGCTCTGAAACCTAGTTCTCTTGATCTGAAATGATTAAATAAGAGATGAACTATACTAGTTCAGTAAGAATATCACACTATATCATCAACACAGACGTAAAGGTTGGTATAAAATCAAAAAAGCACTAATGGAGCACTAAATTGGCAAATTCATTTATCGATCATAAAAATTATTTACCGTTCACTTACCATAATAGAATTTATAAAAACAATCTATACAGATAATAATATTATACAGATCATGATTTCATGTATAATCAGCAATTATAGCACACATTATAAATCTATGTCCATTATCAATAAATTTACAATAACTATCATTCTTTTTACTAGCCTACTGGTATCTATTGGGGTTCATGGGGATGTTCTCGCTGCATGTGAATCCTTTCATTTAACATTTCCAAATAACGGGTTATTTTCATACCACGTCCGGTATGAGTGCCAAATTATTAAGTTTTCATACCCCGTCCGGTATGAGACAACATTCACGGTAGGGTTTCCCTATGTACCCGATCCATCCACCATCTCCCAGAGTATCCAGTAAGGCTGTCATTTCATCTATTCATTTCATCACATAATTTTTACCGTTTAACCTTCATTTTTTTCGATTTAACAGTAAACACATAAAATAAACTATACATGCATTCAAAACTATAAAATCAATTAATAAGATATTATCATGCATTTAAACTGTAAAACAATCAATAAAACAACAGTAGAAAATTTCTGATTCTGTCTCCATTAGCAATCCGTAATTAATTATGCACATTTTTTAAATTCACAGAAAATATCGTATTATTATTTATTTATACTTCAGTTATATGATAAGGAATAAGGTGAGAGATCCTTACTCAATTCGATATCTGAAAAGGTACACTGTTCGACTGCGTTTACTAGCGGTTCCTAGGTTCTCTGATTTTTTCTTCAAGAATTAAAATGTACTAATAGTATCTACAAATGTCCCAAACAAACCTAAAATCAGTCTCATGGCTCACTTGGCCAATTTCGGAAATTCCAGCATGGCAGCTCTGCTGTGCTCTTGCGACGGTGCCGCCTGCGACTGCAATCCGCCTCGGGTCGGCTGTTTTCGGTCGTTTTCTGCTGTTTTAGGCAGATTTTGCGTCAATCTCTGTGAAAAAATACGTTAAAGAGTCTCAGTTGGCCAAAAATTACCGACGGCGGGGCGCTCTGGTGCGGCGACTTCTCTGGCTCACGCTGCAGTTGGGTATTTTGCTCCGGTCAACCTGTAGAGAAGGACATGGTGATCACAATGGTGAAAAAATTATACAGAATGGGAATCGGAAAGGGCATCATCAGAAGTGTTTTGTGAAATTTTCTGCGGCGGCGGCGCCGGGCTTTGTCTGCGTTTTTCGGCCAATTGGCCGATTCTTTTACTCCGATTTGTCCATGGGTGTGTTTAGAATTGAATTCCGAGTAAAATAAAAAATTTTTACATTTTTTGGCGGTCGCAAAAGGCTCTGGTGCAGGGCAGATGACGGCAGTCTCCTTCCCGGCAGCCAGGTCTTCTTCTCCAACGAGGGGGTCTGGCGAGGATTTGGTGTGGATTAGGGTTATTTATATCCGTCCGCTTTTGATCTGGGTCGTCTATCGCATTTTGTAACGGTCCCAGAAATTTAAAATGAAATGTGTATTAAAAATATCAAATGCGGAAACAAAGTCAAAAATTCGATTAACATCCCTTACACTAAACCAAAAACGTGCTCACAAAATATAAAAAATCAAACTAGCTAAAAGAGAAACTCGAAATTAAAAGCTACGAATATGACTATGGAGTCTTTAGGCGTCCCCTTCGTCGTCCTCCTGCGGAACGGGATCGGGAACAATGTCTTCCTGATCTGAAATGATTAAATAAGGAATGAACTATACTAGCCCAGTAAAGACATCACGATATCTCACCGTCACGGAGGTAAAGGTGGGTAGAAAACACAAAAAGACCAATTGAGCATAATTTAGAATAAACTCATTTATTAACATAAAAACATTTACTGTCCACTTACTTCGGTGCGATCCATAAAACAACATATAAAAGCAATAACATTATCATCATCATGAAATCATATATAAACTGTATAACATAATACTTATCATGCCTTTTGTAATTCAATCATTACACAACATATTTTCCTCATTTACCAGCCCACTAGTATCCATGGGGATCCATAGGGGTTCCGCTACCCGTTAACCCTTAGCACTTGAAATTAGATTCCAGGGCCGTCCCCATACCCCGTCCGGTATGGGCGCCAAAACCATAAATCCCATTACCCCGTCCGGTATGAGGGTGAAACGGGCCGTCCCCATACCCCGTCCGGTATGGGCGCCAAAACCCATAAAGTTTTCATACCCCGTCCGGTATGAGAGACCACAATCTCGGTAGGGTTCCCTACGGACCCGGTCCGTCCACCATCTCTCAGGATATCTAGTCAGGCTGACCACATTATACAATTACCAATTTACATAATCTTTCATTCTCCTTTTCCTCAGTCAGCATCATCAATTCACATACAAACAAGCAAAACAGTAATTTATGCCAAACAGGCAACATACAGCATCAGTATCTCAGTCATTCAATACATAATCAATGAAACAGTAAAATATGCACACGAAACTATAAAATGAAAACATCAAACCTCATACTGCATTTAAAACTGTAAAATATGCCAAATAACAGTTAACCGACGAACCCACTAGACTCGGGCTCTATTAGCGACCTTAATCAATTTCACACATTCGTTGATTCAAGAATTACCGTTTTATCATTATTGAACTTTAATACCGTGATAGGAAATAGGGTGAGGGGTCCTTACTCGTTTCGGGGTCCGAACACGGCTTCACAGTGCACCTACAGGCTGTCCCTAATTTTCCCTGAATTTTTTCCGAGGAACTGAAACGCACTACTGGTACCTGCACGTGTTCCAAAAAATCCCAAATTAGGTCCAGGACCCCTTTTTGGCCAATATCGCAATTCCGGCACGGCTGCTCCGCCGTGCTCCGGCGACGGCGCCGCCGCAAGCGGCGGCGATTCGCCTCGGTTTGGCCGTTTTCGGCCGTTTCCGGCCGAATTCGGCCACACTTGCATCAGTCCTTGCGATAAAACAACCCTAGGGCCCTCGATGGGCCAAAAAATTACGGAAAACCGAAGCTTACCGGCGGCGGTGCTCTCGGGTGCGGCGGCTCTCCGGTGAGGTTCGTGTTTTGGTGATTCGGCTCCGATCAACCTGTAGAGAAAAGAATGGTGATCACGGTGATATAAAAATTGCATCGAACGGAGGCCGGAAAGGGCCTCATCGGAGGCAAAAACCGAGGAGGGGCGCGGTGGTGCCGCTGGGTTTCGGCCGTGCTTTTCGACCGTTTGGCCGGGATTTTGGCTTCGATTTGGGCACAGGGGAAATCAGCGTGGAAAAACGAGTCGGGGGTATGAAATTTACCTCGATCAGCGGTCGAAAATCTCCCCGGTGCGGCGGCGGGTGGCGGCGGCCGGCTTCTCCGGCGTCTGGTTCGTCTTCTCCGGCGAGGGCAGGCGGCTAGGGTTTTTGTGGTCAAGTGTGGGGGTTCTATTTATACCCTTTTGCCTTTTGATCTCAGCCGTCCATTTTGATTTAATCTGGACCGTTCGTTTTTGATTGAATCTGGGCCGTCCGTGCGATTACATCTGGGTCGTCCGTGCGCCCGCTTGATCTGGACCGTCCGATCGCGCGTACGCGGATTGCCAACGTGGCACGTCCCCGGTCGACATGGTTTTACCACGTGGCAGGTCCTGGTTGGCCAGGACTGCTGACTGGATCTGCTGACGTGGCTGCTGACGTGGCGTTTTTTTTTTAACCTAATTAAAATATTTAAAATAAAGTAATCAATTTTTTTTCCACATTTTTCGGGCGTTACACATTTGATCTGAACCATCCGATCACGATTAAATAGGGAGTGAATCTGGGTCGTTATCACGATTCAATATGGGTTGTCCATCGCGATCTAATCTGAACCGTCCAATCTCGTTCAATCTGACCGTCCGATCGCGTTTGGGGAGGGAACGCATCTGGGCCTTCCGTGCGCGCGAGAACGGATCTAGGTCGTTCAATCGCAGACACGCGGATCGCCCGTGTAGCACCACGTCAGCGTCTGCTGCCACACGGCGCGTCCTGATTCATCGGATCTACTGATCGGGCATCTGACGTGGTCAAACTTTTTTAAATTACAGTTTGACCTCCGATTTCCAATTTTTCTTTCAAAAATACTCCCATAATTCAAATTTCTACCCTTTTTTCCCAAAATTATTTTCATTTTCATTTTCTTTCAATTTTTACTTCATTTCTATCCTAAATTAAATTAGAAAAATTAAAAAAGTATATTTATTAATTTTAAATTACATTAAAATCTTATTTTGATGTGTTACAATTCCAATTACATTTTTAATATTTGTCGAATTCGTTTTTAATAAGAACTAAAATCTAAATATATTTAAGTTCTTAAACCATGAGAATCTCATTATTCTTGAAAATGTCTTGGCAAGATTTTGCTATAATTTTTTTTATTTATAAAAAGTGAGATTTTATTCTAAATAAATTTGGGTATAATCTCAAATACCTTTATAAGTTAGATTACAAAGTAATTAGAAAATATTGAACTTTAATTAATTTCTTAAACCATAAAGTAATAAGTTTTTTTATACCATTTGCTGTAATAAGTTTTGGATTACAGAACAAGAATCTAATGGTTTAAAAATAAATTGATTTGTAATCAAAAATTAAAAAGAAAAGAAATTCAGTTACTGCTAAGGGAGATAACTTATCTAAGAAAGATAAATTATTTGATTTATTATATTTTTAATAACTTGATGAAATTTTAATTTTGTAATTTTTATTATTCAGAAATTATTTTAAATTTTAATAAAAATATGGCCACATTATAGAAAATAATTTTTTGAGAAATAATGGAGAACCTATATTTATTATGAGAATCAATTATTTAAAAACAAATTAATTTGTATTAGTTTACTCAATATGATGAAAATTCTATATGTATATATATATATATATATTAATTTAATAAGCTCTTGAAATTATAGAGTTAAATCTCAATTGAGTAAATACTTAGTTTTAATTAAAATATATATATATATATATATATATATAAAATAAGATTTTGATGTGAATTATTTTGTTTGAAAATGTTTAATAATTATTTTACATATGATAAATAAAAACTATTTTTATTTGTGTATCCAATAAAAATAATTTTCATTTGATTTTTTATTTATTATATTAATTAAAAAATTAATGTTTTAAAACTACAGGCCAATTGTATATTACCTAGATTAACCCTGTCGGTTCGATTCCTAAATTCAAAAACCCTAGGTATCTTGATTATTATAAATTTATCTATCAGCCGCCGCTCCTTAGAATATTGAAAATGGTACACAGTTGTTATCCATGTTGTTATTAATCATCATTTATATTCATACAGGAGGTCGAATTCTAGTTGTCATCGTCATTATCTCTCAACCTTTAAGGATCTGATTGTCGAGAATATCTGCTGTTTCTCGATTGCAAGTGTTTAAGAGTTCATCGTTATTCCATATCTAAATTGCAGAGACTGTGGATACTCATTCTACAAAATGTCAGACAATTCTGCGACACTGATGATATTCTTTTTCCTCATGTTTCAAGGTTGGACTTATCAAGGTTCGGCATCGCACACCTTTACAGATTTTATGAAGATTCGGCCGTGCAATCTTATTCCGGGAAGACAGATTGCCCAAAAAGTTGTGAATAACAAAACAAGCATTCATCTTCAGTACAGAGGCAAAATAGGTAAATCTGTTTTCAAGAAGAAGACTATCGGTAAGATTATGAAAGGTAAAAATAGACGTAGCATACCAATCATTCTAAATTTCTATCTATTTATCGATGAAATCAAATATTATGATATGTATTGAGTTTTATCTCATTAGATTTACAAAATCTAATGCTGATTTGGTTGATATATAATCTTCAATAAATGTATGTAATGATTGATTATGAAATAATAAAGTTTTAGTAGCAATTGGTGGTATTAAGGGAAAAATGAGATTGAATGATTTTTCTTTCATGTTTATACATACATATTTTATAGTGATGTTTGTATATTTGTATAATCCAATTCTTTTGCTTTACTTTGAGAGTGAGGGAGAGAGGTTTGTTTGAATTTGAAAGGTAAACATCCAAGTTTAAGCACAAAATTTTGATTGAATCTTTAGAATCAAATAAAAATGGGGCAAGAAAAGAAATTGACTGTGTAAAGTCAAAGCTAAACAGGAAAATCAAAAGAAAATAATTTATTTTAAATATATATTATGTGTTTTTTATGTTAAAAAAATAAAAAAAAAATATATATATATATATATATATATATATATATATATATATATATCAAAACGAGACGCGTACCAAAAATTTATCCCCCTACCTTCCATTTCTTCCTATCGGCGTCTTCCTCTCTCTAAGGCACCAGCTTTCGTCGTGGAGCTAGACAACCGCCATGCCCACGACATCGTCCTCCCCAAGCACCGCCGCGTTCGGAAACCACCCGGCCAACCTTTTATCGCGGCTCGGCTCAACGGATGCGGAAATCAAGCTCAAGGCGCTCCGCGAGGTCAAGAACCAGATAATTGGGAATCGCACCAAGAAGCTTGCCTTCATCAAGCTCGGCGTCGTCCCAGCTATTGCATCCATTGTTGCCGATTCAGCAGCTTACGTGGCCGCCAATGCCGTCAATGACAGTGATAATAAGGACAGTAACAAGAGTGATAACATTCTTGTGCAGTCGGCGGCAGCTCTAGGGAGCTTCGCTTGTGGCTTCGACGCCGGGGTCCAGGCCGTGCTCGATTCCGGGGCGTTCTCTCACCTTCTGCGGCTTCTCTCAAATCGTAACGAGAAGGTAATTTCTGATTTAGTTATTTCAGTATGCTTTTGATGGCAGCATGTGTAGTTATTTAATCGTGTATAAATTTATTGAACGAGAGGAATATGAGATGTTGAATTCTATTCCTTGAACCAAATAGGAAGTATATTTTCTTACTCGATCCAAATACGGTTTTGAAAATCGTGATTGTTGCTTGGAAATTGATGGAAATGCGAAATTGTAGTTGAAGTATCAGTTTATCCATCATTTGTTTTCATAAAAGGAAAAATAGTGTACGCATATGATATTGCTCCAGGAACTTTTTGCAATTTTCTTTTCCCTCAGTTGTTTAGGGATGCTCCTCTCTGCTCATTTCTTAATGTTAGTGATTGGAGACTGGACCTTGTTCTGTTTGATGCAGGGTTTCGTTGTTCTTGAAGTATGTGGTTAAAATGAGAAATGAAACAAACAAGTGGATATGAATTTAATGCACCAGTTTTGATATTTATAGGATTCACTTCATATTACCTAGATTATTCTAGGCTTGGAGTGGATTTTTTCGTTGTTATTTTTCTTTCTATTTTCTGTTCTTGAATAATAAAAAAATTATCCTATTTTCTGATTATGATTAGTAAGAGCACCTTTGAGATTGAACTGTGATTTTTTGAAGGTTTCTAAATAATCACATGAAAATTGTTGAGATCCCTGAAGGTGGCTGGCTAGGTTATTACCTAATATCTCCTGAAAATGGAACCCATGGTTTTGATGGTGTTGGTGGCATCATGGTCCACAGAGACTTGGGATTTTTGAGAATAGTCATTGTGTCATGCCTGTCATTGGTAAGATTTGTCAGAGGGGTTCCTGATATCCATCTTTCCATGTACTACCTAGGTGTAAACAGGCAATTGTGATATATTACAGTACTTGTACAATCATGTCTGACTAAATTCTGTAACCAACTCAAACTATTGATCATGTTGGTACTGTATTCATTAGAAAGCTTTTACCTCTGTACCTCTCTTATTTTATATATTTGTATTATCCACCTCCTTTTTTATCCTGTTAATATTTAAGGATATACCTTTCGATAACTTCGTTTCTGTTGTCCGAACACAATAGACGATTCTTTCCCTGGCATTTTTCTCACAACCTCAGCAGTAATGAAATTAACTCTTATTTTGGTATACCATTCGTTAATACAACTTTCATGGTTTCAGGTGGTTGATGCTGGTGCCCGTTCCCTTAGAATGATTTATCAATCAAAACTAGCTCCTGAATATGATTTCCTTCAAGAGAAAAACATGGAGTTCCTTCTCTCACTATTGAATAGTGATAACGAAAATGTTAGCGGACTTGGTGCAAGCATTATAACTCATTCTTGTGGAACAAGTGCTGAGCAGAATGCTTTGTATGATGCTGGTGTTTGAAGAAGCTTACTGGTCTTCTTGAAGGTTCTTTAAGTCAAAGAGATGCTAGTTTAGAGTCTTTAGCTGCTATTTTCAAGAACAAATTCTGATGTTATTACCAGATTTATGGAACTTAACAGTGGAAGATTTTTAAGTTCTATAGTTGAATTAGCAAAGGATAGATATGCCAGAACGAGGTTGCTTGCATGCATGTGCTTGATAGTCATAAGAAACACTTCTCCAGGCTACCTTCAAGATACCGGAAGCAAAACCAAATTGATACATGTTTTACTTGAGCTTCTTGATGAACCTGGCCCAATTGGAGATGAGGCTTCCTTCGCCTTTTCTAGTTTAATTGCAGGGAAGGAGGATCTACAGAAACTGGCTCTTGAGGTTAATGCTATTGATAGATTATACAACCACATCGAAAAACGGCCTTTGCAGCCCAAGCGTTTTGAAGGTTTGCTGTTAGCTCTAGCTGATATGTGCTCAATGTTGGAGATTTGCAGGTCTAGATTCTTGTCATTGGAGGTATGATGTACATGATGTGTTTCTAGTTTGTTAGATTGTTATTTTTTTTAATGTAACCTTCCTATGTTACATGGTGCACATTCCTATGTTGCTTTTTTTGTTTTTTTTTTTGAGCTAATTCTTTCTTTTCATCTCTGTGCAAATTCTTGCATGCTTATTCATCTAAATGAAACACTTTTTTTTTTTCTCTCTTTCAATTTCATAACTCCAGAAGCCTTTGATTTTTCTTAAGTTTTCATTATCTTGTATTGCAATTTTGACAAGGTGATTAACAGTTTAGTTGTGCAAAAATGTTATAATTTGTTTCTGAATCAGTCTTGAAAGATAGAATAGAACATATAAAACTAGAAAGTTCTGAAAAGAATCTTATATGTGTGTACCACTGAAAAACCTGCTTCCGTATGTACCATCTAATCAATTTGTTAATGGTAACTTTTTCTAAGAAATATCTAAAGTTAGTTCTTCACCATTAGGAAGAGTTTAGTCTTGTAGGACGCAAGTCTCATAATTTGGAATGACTCTAAGGAATTTTCAATTTATTCTCTTTAATATAGGTATTGAATTTTGTAACTGATTAACTAACTCGTGATAGTGCTGAGGTATGCTTTGCAGCTTGCATTTGCTAAGAAAATCTTACTAGGAATAGTGGAAGATTGTAGGCCATGGATCTGATAGTCTGGATTATTCTATTTGACTTTCTAATTTATTTACTTTGATACAGGTATTGAATGTGGTAACCAATGCACTAAGTCATGATAGCGCTGATGTACGTACAGCAGCTTGCATTTGCTTACATAGTGTCACCCGGTCAATCAAGGTCTGCAATGTGAATACATGATATCTGAATTCTGGTTTAAGCAAATAGGTTTCTGATAAGCTTTCATTCAGAAACTGAGTGCAGGCTGTTTCATGAATGAAGCTGTTGTTGCTCCTCTGATTCAGCTTTTGCATGACCCATCAACCTTTGTCCAGGTAAGCAATTATGTGCATACATTTCTTGTCATACTGGTTGTAGTTGACTTTGTGTCTAATGGCCTTTGCAAATATAATTTCTTAGTCCCATGAAGTGGGAACTAAAAACAACTAAGAGACATGTCCGGTCAACATTTTTTATTGTTCTTATTGAAAATTGTTGGCAGAAAATTTTTATCTCTTGATCTTATCTGAGAAATTCAGAGAGACGTAGATACTATGATATTTGTTTTATCTGTCTTGTTTTCTTTTTCATCATACAAAAGTTGAGCTCAGCACCATATTTCAAATGATGGTTATGGTGCTAGTCCAAGAGAAATTTGATGTTTCTCTGGTTGCTACCTTACTATGGTTTTGAAATTGAAAGGTTAGTTATCATAAATCAGGTCTATTGCAAATATATAAGTTTGTACTTTACAGACACTCATCCCCTGCAATCCAAGGCAGTTCCCTTCTTTAAAAAGTTTAGCATGCAGCTCCTCTTGATATTACAATAATGCAGTTCTGCCTAATATGAAATTTTAGAATCTTTAACTTCATATACTGGAGGGTCAAAGAACTCTGTGGTTTCAACTTTCAGTTTGTTGTTCATATCTGTGATGGATTTTTATTGTATAATGCTTCTACAAAAAACTGTTTTTATTGATAAACACTAGGTAGACGTGTGTTTCCTAGTTAGAACGTTAACTCCAACGAAGTCTCAGGTTCAACATTTATGATCTTTCTTGTATCGTTTGTATTCAAGGTTGTATCTTCTATGTGTGTGCTTCATGGTAAAATAGATGTCAATACAAAAATGAGGCAGCATATCATTAATGTCCTTTTCTCAGGTTGCCGCTCTTGGTGCTGTTAGCAACATAGTGGTAGATTTTGCAATGCGCAAGTTAGCTTTCATACAATGCGGAGGTGTGAAACAGCTTATTCAGTTATCTAAATCAATGGATTCAACCATCAGGTTAAATGCATTGTGGGCTTTGCGTAACTTGATTTTCCTAGCGGACAACAAATGTAAAGAAGGGGTGTTCTCAGAACTTACGGCTCCATTACTAGCAAGTCTAATCAGTGGTAATGCTTTGATTTGATTGATAAACCTTGACATTATTTTTACCATGGTATGCTGTTTGATACATTTTTCTATTTGCAGATCCTGAACCTCCTGTGCAAGAGCAAGCTTTGGCTTTTGCTCGTAATCTTGTTGATGGATCTATTGATTCTATTGAATATGTTTTCAGTGAAGGTTGGATTATATTAAATGCTGTTGTGAAGCAATTGCAGAATGCTTCAAAAGCTGAAATTGGGATACAGGTAAAGGGTCCCTTAGCAGTTGTCATTGGAAGTAACTTATAGAGTTACCACTCATCAAATAAGTGGATAAAGATTTTACATGAATACTATTGAATGGTGAATCTCAACAACATTAATCTAACCTGCGACATTCTATCACTGATTGCTTACAGGATTCTTCACATCTGTGCCCATCCACTTGTCAACTTTTACAAAACAAGTTCTATTTTGTTCAAAGTGGGAAATAGGAAGTAGGGATTATCCATAGTTTTTTATTTGATCCATGCTGTTTAATTATCGGATATCTAACTTCATTATACCTTAAGAAATGACTAGTACAATATACTTGACTGTTCTAGCTGTTTCTTATAATGCATGAAGAGCTGTAAAAACTCGTGAAATTTGTGATTGATAGTGGTTTGTAACAAGTCTTTTTGAAAGGAATGGTTGCGTACATTTTAGAGTTCTTTCCATGGACGCTAGCAGTAATGTAATGCTTTATCTGCATAATTAGGTTTCGAGGACCTTTATTGACAGTCTGCTGCATAGCAAGTTACCAGATGGAATTCTTTATCATCATTGTTCATATAGAATAAAGATTATATTTTATGATGATCTTGACCTTAGAAATGTTTATTTTATTCTGTTGGAGTTTTTACTTTATCATGTCAAACAAAGATGGCATTTTACGATGGAATCAAGCACTTATAGAATCATAAAAATTGTACCACTGTTTTTTTTATTACTAATTGCTATCTTTATTTTATGATGAAGCTAACATGACAAATTCTAGCATATAGTGGCACCATATGCAACCGGTTGATTGGATATCTTTTCATTTTTTTCCTTTTTAAGACTGAAGAACTTTGTACAGTCTTGTCTGTTGGTGTCTCATTTTGTGTCAACAGACTAAACATTATACTCCCGGAATCCTTGCTAGTACAGTGATAAGAGTATCAACGTCATAGAACAATCTAGGTGGTAGATGTGAGTGGTGATTTTTTATTTATCCATCTTTCTAGCTGTACTTATAAATTTACTCTTTGCTTGTATAGGGGATGTATGTGCTTACCAATGTGGCAAGTGGAAATGAGCTTCACAAAGAAGCAGTAATGCACCAACTCCTACCTCAACCAGATGAAGGGACTAAACATTTCATACTCAAGTTTTTGCAAAGCAGCAATAGTCAGTTACGTACAGCTACAGTCTGGCTTATCATAAATCTTACTTCTCCATCCAGTCCAACTGCAGTCAGTCGGCATGCAAAACTGCGCAATGCAGGCATCATTTCTCAGATTAAGAATATGGGAAACGATCCCTGCTTGGATGTTAAGGTAATAAGGTTCACACCTTTCTTAAACTTAGGCTATATTTGGCGCACACAAAAAAAATGTCTCTGGAATTTATTTGAAGATATGCACTTCTCTTATTTATGAGGGGGTGGTGATTCCTCACAAAATGGTAAAATTGATTTTTGAAATAATTTTCAAGGGGAAATTAAACAGTGTGTACAAATTTTTTCAATTCTTATAGAATTTGGGATTTGTTTCTCAATTTAATTTGAAATTGCCTAGGAGGAGTTCAGTTTGAGGTCAATCTGTATTGTTATATGTGGTAACTTTTTCACCCTTTTACAGTTAAAATAAATAAATTTTCAAATAAATTTTACACATAAAATCCATTTGTTTCAGACGTAGCCTTATTTTGTTTCTTTCATCTGTTTGCTGAAACATGTTTAGTTATTTACTTTGCAGCTTCGCGTTAGAACAGCAATTTTGCAGTCCTTGACTTTTGGCGATGCTTAAACACATCATTGTTTTCTCCCCATGAATCCAAGACAGAGTTAAGATATCAATACAGTTTTGTTCTGGTTCTCAACTTTGTTGTATAAAAATGTTTTGATCTCTTCTCTTATATCGAGACAACGAGGTGTGCTTTAGTCAAAGACTCAAAGCTCTTATGGTAGATACATTGTTAATAGTCTTAGAACTAAGCTCTGGGTAGAAGCTTTATCATGACATTAAAAACCTTTTTGTTAATCGTTTGTTCAGTATTTTGTACATAATATTCCAATTGAAAGTTGTAAGTCCCAATTTATGGTTGTGTATTCTGTTCCCTTTTCCCGGGACCAACGGCGGAGTTTAGAATGTCTAATTAGAAAGAGTTATTGTGAGATAATTTCTGGGCACTTCAAGTACCTTGTTTGGTTAACAATGATCAGATTTAAGTATTGTGAGATACTTTCTGGCTCCGTTTCTACTTTGTTTCTTAGGCTATGATCAGAATAAATTTAGAATATATAAATGACATTTATACCAGGAGAAGAAAATTTTCTCAGAAAACACCAAAACTATATTACTCTTGGTCCAACTAGAGTTTTCATTACCATCATTTGAAATTCTTAATTTGTGCAAAAGTTTTGGTTTCAGTTGGACATTGTTACTACAAAAAATAAAGGCTCTGATGATTGATACAAAAGAATATTTGTAAATTCTTGCACATTGCTTTTGGGTTTTGCAGAATCCATAATTTTCATAAAGATGACCGCTATGTCAACTGCATTATAATAGATTCACCTAAAGAAAGTGAGAATGTCCAATTTCAGAACTGAAGAACCTACAACCAAAACCACATATGATATTCATATGTACAATGTAAAGTATAAAATTATAAAATTGAACTATTGTCTTCTCTCCATCCAAAGTGGATCATATTCTAGGCTATAGATATACCCTACTCTAGAATATGTGAACAACATAGGAAATGAAAAGAAGGCCAAGATTAGCAGAACAAAGTCAGAGCCACCCCTCAGCCAATTTTCTCTGTATTGGTGTCATCAGACGGCCATATCACTGTCTCCATGAGCCGCTCCCGCATCAGCTGCAAGTTCTCATCAGATATTTCTTTATATATTTGCGCATGATCACATTTCTTCACCAACCAAAAAGCAAAGAGTCACTTCTCTTTAAAATATACCTCGGTTCTTCTATTTTTAGGAACTTCTATATGTTGGCAAAAATTAATTACATCAAGTTTAAATGACAATCGATTACCTTAATCCATTTACCATACAAGTGGAGACGCGTTACCATCACTCTTTCAGCAAGGTCCTGCTGCTCCTGTCATTAGGTAAGAAAAATATATTCGGATAGAGGTTAGTCTATTCTATAGAATAAAAATATAATAATAACAACATAAATGAAATAAAAATTTAAATTAAAAAAATCTTAATTTCAAGTCAATTCTATATCCAATCAAGTCTTCCATTTACATGTGGGTACCTAAATACATCATTATAGAATTACAAATATGAATTACATTGGTTCAATTATAAACCAAGTATATAAATTATGATTAAATTTCTACATATCAACACTTTAAAAATATAATAATTGCTCAAAACAGCAGAATGATGAACTTAAATACGTAAGGATATAGTTTCTTTGCATACGAAATCAAATGAAGAGAAAAATCTTCTAAAAGATGCAAAGGGTCCTGAAATACCTTGCCAAGAGTGCGTATGAAGCGTTTGCCATCTCCAGGTTTATTCATTGCAACAAAACTGTGAAAAATGAAAAGAAATCAAACACATTGAAAACTACAACTACAATCTTTTCGGATCAAGGGCACATAGATCGTTACTGACTCAAGGAATTTCCATAAACTATAAATTACTTTAAGTAAGTAAAAGTTTAAATTTTGGGTTTGGAATAAGTTGGATTATAGAAAACCATTTTTTTAAAATTAAAAAATGTAATATGTATATTAAATAAACAGCACCAATGGGGTTCCACCTATTTACAATATGTATCTACAACATTTCCAAAATCCTCCATTCTATAAATGTCATGACTCGAGATCAAAGAACCAAAATAGTTTATTCATCTATCCCTAGTTTTAAAACTTCATTTTTATTTATGTGTTACCCAAAGAAACATAACAGTTATGCATATAAGAACTTTAGAACCAGTAGTTAATCAATATTATCATTGTACTCATAAAGCTAAATGTTTTTAAAACCTACTCATTAACAACTAAGGCTGTATATAAAAGAGATGGATTAGTTTCAGAGAGTTAATTTAGAGATCAACATATAGTTCAACTAAGATGCAACAAAAAAAAGTCTATAAATAGTATTAGAGGATGATAAAAACTAACCTACAGAGATTCCATATGGAATTGGAGTAGAATTCTAAATTCTATAGAAACTAATGGAATTTAAAAGACACTGCTATAATTCCACTTGAATTTTATAAAATGACAATTTTTATCATCTGAATGGAATTTTGTTGTCTCCTAATTAAACGAAATGGAAATTTCGTATGAATTCTACAAATGATGTTGTTCTTCTGAACTTAGCCTAAAGCCTTGTTGAAAATCGAGATGTCATGTAAGATGTCTGTTTAAAACATTTCAAGAATTTAAGGAAAGCCTATGGACAAAATGAGGATTTGACTTACTTGTAGAACCACCTATACTGGGGTGGATTCATTTCATAAAGCTGGTTAAGAACTGTCCTCACCGCTTTGTATGTGAAATAGTTTTGTATTTGCTGCAGGCAGAAGACATCATCGTTTAGAAAAAAATATTTAAAAAACATCAAAGAAAGGTAAAAAAAATTAAGGTAGAGCATTTCCCAAACTGGTCTAAGAAGCCAATCAAAGCATATTTTCATCAAGTTGGCATTTGGCTTGAAGTTACACTATTCAGCAAAATAACCCTCTTCCTCTTATAACATTCTCCAACGCAGGTATGAGCAGCATCCAACACCAAATTCTTATGCTAACTTCATTAATGAGCTACCATAATGCTGCTTTTTATCAAACTTATATGAAACAAATCATGTACCGGCCATTTAGTCATATAATATTCCTGAACACTGAACCACAATAGTGCTTTAAGATAAAGAAACAAGAACAAGTCACTAATAAATTCAGTTTAATAAAAACAGCGAGTTATAACAAAAGATCAACTCAAATAAAACAAATCATGCTTCCGTAAACAAATTACCAAATCAATAAAAAACTTACATAAGTTATACAACATTCAATAATCATGAGATAATTCAAGGCTTCTCACCAATTTAACATCCTCAAAAGTGTCTTCATACTGCCCTCCAAGCTCACTGACAACCACCAATCTCCTATCTCTCCGATGCTTCCTAGAAGAAACCCTCGATGAAACCCTCCAATCATGCCGTGAAAAGCAACTGCTCAGCTCCACCAACCTCGTTGACCTCGCCATGTGCTTACTCTTTATTGAATTCCTCTGCAAAACCAAATCCCCGCCGCCACTTTTCAGGTTCATATTAGTCGTTGGAAGCGCATCCAGGCACAAACACGGGCCAGTATGCGACTCCATAACCGTTGAACCAACAACGGACAAAGCCCCCACCATTATTAATTCCTTGAGCACGAAACTATCTAAACCTTTTAAAATTAGGGTTTGCCTGGCTACAGATAGCAGTCTTGCTTGATTTTAGAGATGAAATTAGGGGAAAGAAGAGGTACCCACTAGAGTTTATGGAGAAACTTATAGTGGGTATCCAAGAGAATGGGAGCAGTTGGGGACTTGCAGTCAAAGATTCATCAAGTGGAAAATGGAGAATTAAATTTAATGGAGTGAAGAAAAGGAATTTTTCCGGACGTGAAGAAGACGTTATAAAGTTTGATTCTTCTTTGGTGAAGGCGCCATGAATCTTAACCAGACAAATTCTGAGGTCCATATTTCTCCAAACCCACAGTGAAGCTTCAACGTGTCTGAACTTAATTCTTGTCTACTTTGCTTCACTTGTTATATATCTCTACTTGTCGCATCTATGATTTCCTACACGTATATATATATACTATCTGCGTGTTCATATTATTTTTGTTAATATATTAATAGTAATTAACGTATAATCACTATAATTTTTGTATATTTTATCAGGTTAAAAATATATAATTTACATTGCAATTATTAAATTTTGTGGGGAAAAAAAATCATTACCACCTTATCTAAATAACCAAATATTGAACTTAATTTGCAAATTAACACTTAATTATCATTATTTCAGTATTTGATTATTATTTTTATTATTACACTGTTGAACAATCACTCCCATCTGTAAATAAATTATATATTTTAAACATGTATTTGTTAATCAAATCTCTTATTAAATTAATTATTGCAATATTTGTTACAATTTTATTTATTAATATTTTTTATTACAATCTAATTCAATTTTTTTACGAAAAATAAAATAAAATAGTTATATAATGTTCATCTGATTTTTTTAAAAAAATAAAAATTAAATTAAATTAATACAATTTAATGTAATAAAATAAATAAATAATACAATAAATAAAATTAAATAAAATAAAATTATAATAATAGAAATTGGAAATCTCAATGTGTAAAATATTTGTAGAGTTGCGTGTGAAATGTGAAAATTCTGATATTTGATTGGAGTTTATTGGATCGTCATTTCACACTTTTGTAAAATTCTTCAAGCCGCCATTTGCCGCCGCCGCCGCCGCCGGCCAGTGAAATAATTAATTATAACAAAAACAATGTTTAAGGAATTAACCTGGCTGATTAATTATATCATTATGCTTTAATAATATATTAGTGAAATAATAAGAACACCGAGTTAAACTATTAAATTGGTCTTGATAAATAGTTATTTAATTTAAAAAGCCCATATAACAGGCCAATTTTAAAAGCCCATGTAATAGGCCCATTCTAAAAGCCCAACCTAACTATAAACTCCCATTTAATAGGCCAATTTAAAAGCCCATTTAATAGGCCCATTTTCAAAGCCCAACCTAAATATGAAAGCCCATTTTATAGGCCCATCAACAAAGCACATATGATAGGCCAGATCTAAAAGCCCAAACCTAATTTAAAAGCCCATATAATAGGCCCATTTTAAAGCCAATGTAAGCCCAATATATTTTTAAAGCCCATGTAATATGCCCATTTAAAACCTCAACTTGAGTTCAAAAGCCCAATTAGTATGTCAATTTAAAAGGCCCATGTCGTACGCCCCATTTTAAAAGCCGAACCTAATTTTCAGCGTCCTCGTATTATTATTATTATTATTTTTCTAATTACTATTTAAAAGAAAAAATCCATTTTCCGTTCAGGTCTCTTAGACTCATATTGTCTTCATCATTCGTCAATGGACTCCATAATCAAATGATCCTGTCCTTAAACCGTCAACACCAGCCGTCTCATCTGCTTCCATATCCGGCGACCCCGAGAGGACTCAGAGACGAATTCTTTTTCCTCTCTCTTCTCATCTCTAAAATCAGAACAGCTAACCCCGTTTCAATTCATCATAATTTCTCCCGATCGTGATGAAACGAGAGGGATTATCTCAGGACTAGCTCGGCCGCTGGTCTTCGATCGAATACTTCCGTCAATTCACCGACTCGATATTTGTTAACTTTCACAGCTGAAACCTGTCTTCAGCAGAGTCTCCAACTCCAATCGCCGGATTTCACGGCTTTCAGTTTCAGGAAGCTTGTGTCTATTGGTAGTGAAATTGGACAATCCCGGTTGACTCCAGTCAAACCACGTTTTCCTACAAGAACGAAGTGGTATTCGGATAGTCAGACACAGAAGACTCATTTTCAACTCTCAATTTCTCACCGGTTCATGCACCAGAGACAGCCGCGAGCTTCACCGTAGCCAACCCGGGCGGCAGCTAGTCCTTGCTTCGTCACTCTACGAACCGTCTTTGGGGATACACAGACCGAGACCCACTAAGTGCTGTCTGGCACCTTTGCTCTGAATACCTTTTCCTGTTTCACAGCCTGCCCCTATTTTTTCGGTGAACAACTAGCTCGACCACTGGTGGCCGCGCGCCCTTTTCCATCTTATTTTCAAAACCGTCATCCGTCTCCCCCTGCTTTATTGATCTACGCAAGCTGTGGTTCCACTCAGCCCCATCAATCTTCTCCCTTTCTGGTTGATTCCCGCGGGATCCGCAATTGGTAATCTCTTTGGATCCCACTATTTTTTGATGTTTTATTTTGCGCTCTATGTAGACTTGATACTCTGTATTATGGGCTTAGATGGAAGTGTTAAGTCTTCGTAACGTGTGTTCCATTTCTGGACTTGTATCAAGTTGCTAGGGATGCCTTGTTGTATGAGTTTAATCTACTGCTTAGGGTTTGATGAAAAAAAAAATCAGTGGAGGATGCGAGTTTTGCCATGTTGCTTATCTTCTGTTGAAATTGAGAAGCCCCAGTTTGTGTTGTTCTTGGCTTACCTTTAACCAAGTAAGTCTCTGGATCTCTGTAATAGTTATTTTGGTAACATGACATTACAGCTATGGACAAATGTACAGAAGGTAGAACAAAAAGAAGTATCGCTGTCCAATTTATAAAAATTTGTCCATAGTAGTCGATAGTGTTATGGTAATTTGTGACCTACTTAACTGGTACAGTGCCCGAAATAAACAGTACCTGTATGAATCTTCCATGGACCTTGATGGTAAGAGAAACATGTTTCCCGAGTTCAATAATGTCCAACAAGATTTATGAATATATAAGCTGTGTGGATTAGAATTATTAATGCAAGAATAGGCTTTTATTTACTTCATTTCCTAGATTTTTGTTATCTGCATCTTCAAGGTTGCTTTTCCAGGGCCGTTCTTCTGAAAAAAGCTTATACCCTTGAACTTGTGCTAGTACTCTAGTACTCAGGTTTAATAACTTATATTGCAGAGATACCTCGGAATTTTATATGAACTCATTTATAGTTATGCAGATTTCCTAGCAGTTCCCTGTTGGATACCTTAGTGGTCAAGGGCAAAGCCTGGAAAACCCAACACCTTGGGTTCATTTTCATGCTGCAAACTTGTGATTTAGAATGACTTGGAGCTAAGCATCACTCCTACAGTTTACCATGTATGGATGTGTCCAATACAGTGGTCAATAATTACCAGGCATATGACAAGGAAAAAGTTCTTCCTGTTATAATTTAGCTTAGGTAACATGTTGTGTGTTCTGCCTTATAAGATTTAGTTATATTGTCTTTTAGATTTTTTTTTTAGAGCTAAGAATTGAAATGTACCCATTTGGGTGCGATGGAGACAAGATTCTCCTCTTTATACCTGTGAGTACTTAAGGGACTGGTTGATGTTTTGTCAGAGTTGTAAATAATTTTATACAGGTGGCACCCTCTTGGTGCTCATTAATACTATACTTTTTCCTTAAAAAAAGTAACATTTAATAGTTCAATCTTGAACTAATGTTCTCAAAATGAATAGTAATGTTGCATATATCCATCCTTCATGTTTATTATGATACAAATTTATATAGAATTTGACGTGGTTGTGCTTAGGATTTTTTAAAATCCAGCATACAAATCTATACAGAATTATTTATTTAATAAAAATTATAATATTTTATTTTACCTTACTGTCAAGAGCTTTGGACAGAGATCCTGATTTTAGGCTGAGATGAGAACTAGAGAGAGAATGAGACTTAAATGAGGATAGAAGTAGAGAATTCGAGATTACAAGAACACTCAGAAGTCAGACTGATTTCAGGTAAACTGATAGCTTGTATTCAGTGGAGAATAAGGTTTGACATGTTTTTTCCTCCCTAATTCAGCCTATTTGTAGCTCAGTATAAGCTGTAACATTTATTCTGTTATGGAATTGCTACAATTTTTATTTGTACATGTGCTTCATGTGTCCTATCTCCTAAACCTGTTCCGCTTTGGTAAACCTTCAGCGGTTTCTATCAATTTCGATGCTTTTTCATCTAAATACTTGTTTTATCTTTATAACATGAAAAATGTCTGTATGTATTTTACTGCTGCGGACAAAGTTTGAGATGTGAGTTGAAGAAATATACTTCTTTTTTTTTTGTGCTTATACTTTTATTTTTATTTTGTATATATTTCCATTCTTGTTATTTAATTATTAATTATCAATTTATGCTGCTTTTATCTCAGGTTTGAATATCTGTTTGATTCTAAATGTGGATTTAAAGCTCAACTGAAAATTTAACATATACATAAAAAGCAGAGTAGGCATGCACCACAAGACAAGAACCAAACAAGAGTGGATGATCCTAGAAAAATTTAACTAAAATAATAAAAATCAGAAGTAAACAAGAGTAGATAAACGTGCTTTGTATTTTCAATCAATTGTATGATCAAGAAAGGGAATTGCTGATTTATGTATCTTTGTCGTCAGGCGCTTGAAAGAGGAAGCACTGACTAGGTGGTTCAGTAATGGAGTCTTGCAATTGCATTGAGCCGCCATGGCCAGCTGATGAATTGTTGATGAAATATCAGTATATTTCAGATTTCTTCATTGCACTTGCTTATTTTTCCATCCCTCTTGAGCTAATCTACTTTGTGAAGAAATCTGCTGTGTTTCCATATAGATGGGTCCTTGTGCAGTTTGGTGCTTTTATTGTTCTTTGTGGGGCAACTCATCTTATTAATTTATGGACGTTTACCATGCACACTAGAACCGTGGCAGTGGTGATGACCACTGCAAAGGTTTTGACTGCGGTTGTGTCTTGTGCAACTGCACTTATGCTTGTCCATATTATTCCTGATTTGTTGAGTGTGAAAACTAGAGAGCTATTTCTGAAGAACAAAGCTGCGGAGCTTGACAGAGAAATGGGTTTAATCCGCACACAGGAAGAAACAGGCCGGCATGTTAGGATGTTGACTCATGAGATTAGAAGCACTCTTGATAGACATACTATTTTAAAGACCACTCTAGTTGAACTAGGTAGAACATTGGCACTGGAAGAGTGTGCCTTGTGGATGCCAACACGTATTGGGTTAGACTTACAACTTTCTTACACTCTCCGTCAGCAGAACCCCATTGGGTATACGGTACCTATTCAACATCCTGTGATCAATCAAGTCTTCAGTAGTAGTCGTGCAGTAAAAATATCACCAAATTGTCCTGTGGCAAGATTACGGCCTCTTGCAGGAAACTACATGCCTGGGGAGGTCGTTGCGGTTCGTGTTCCGCTTCTGCATCTCTCCAATTTCCAAATTAATGATTGGCCTGAACTTTCGACAAAACGGTATGCTCTGATGGTTTTAATGCTTCCATCAGATAGTGCAAGGCAGTGGCACGTCCATGAATTGGAACTTGTTGAAGTGGTTGCCGATCAGGTCAGACATCATATTGTTTATTATCTTGGCATGGCCTAAATTGTAATTTTTTCCCTGAAAAAGTCCTCATGTACCTCAGAGAATGTATTTTTTGCTTGCATGGCCCCATCTGCATTTCAATTCCATTCACATCTCTGACATGCATATTTTCTTTGCCCCCACACTATAAAATTTTATTTTCTAGGCAAAATAAACTTTTGCAAATTCCCATTACATTTAATTTTATCTATGAAAAAACATTTTTTTCCACATCTAAATTTGTCTTTTGAGTGAAGGGGAAGAGACAAAATGAAAGAGCAGTTGCAGTACCATTTCCTTTATCTCTCGATGTCTCCAGTAGGTTACTGGAGTCATTTATAAATTAATCTTATGTTGGAAATTAAAATCATATTAACAAGTGATGTATTCTGACTTCAGGAGAAGATTTGCATAAAGAATTGTTATTCTTTAATGAAAGAAAAGTTGCATGAAGAATAACTATGACGAAGGCAGCCTGCATATATATTGAGATGTTGAAACCTTTTGGTTTCTTCTAAACATTTGGATGTCTTGTCAAGCAAACATGTCAACTTGAGGATTCTTTTGTGAGAAGAGTGGGTGATAGGAACCCGTTGTTCTCAAAAAACACTGTACTCTTTATCTCAAAAAAAAAGGAACCTGTGGTCATTGCTGGGAAATTATCCATGTGCAGATATGCTCAAAAGACTAACTAATAATTGAGGGAATGGGTGGATTGGAATCTTGATTTATTATGATGGTAGAGTTCATTTAGATTTAATTTGTTATACCACCGAGGAAAAATCTATCTCACTGACCCCTGACATAATTTCATCACTCTGACCTCTGATCCCTCAAGTATAGCTTGGTATACAAATTTTCTCAGATAATTTCTTATCTAGTAAAGGTTTTTTTTTTTTTTTTTTTTTGAGAATAAAAAGAATTTATTCTTAGGGGCAGAGAAGCTATTGCAAACAAGATTTAGATTTGAGATGAATAGGCGTCCTTCCACCAAAGCAGGAAGATACAAGGACACAAAAAAATATTAGGACAAAATATTAACATGATCCCTTTGCAAAATAGATAGAAGAGCCCGTGAAAGAAACCGTGGGCTCTTGTGCAAAAAGAAGCAAAGAAGATCACTCTGTCTGAAAGCATGTATGGCAGTTGAAACCATTCTTCATATCCTAGCATTTCCGCCCAACAATAAGACCTAAAATCAGCAAAGTAACCGCCCATCCCTGACCCAGAAGTGAGTTTAATCCTCTTGAGACTGTGCAAAATATTAGAAATAAAGATTTCTATGTGAGGGACACACAGCCAAAGTTCCCCAAATGTCAAGACAATTTGGACAAGAACCTCCCTAATGAAGAATGCAGTAGCTATTACTCTTTGAGCTCCAAAATCAAATAAAATGATTACAACTATGGTCAAGAAAGTTGATATTCTATTTTGGAAGTGGTTGGTTTGATGCAAGTGTGCATGTTTGTTTGTATATATGTTCCTTGGAGGTGCTTAATTTGTTGTCCTTTTAACCTAGGTGGCGGTTGCTCTTTCACATGCTGCAATATTAGAAGAGTCAATGCGGGCAAGGGATCTACTTATGGAGCAAAATGTCGCGCTTGATCTTGCAAGAAGAGAAGCAGAAACTGCTATTCGTGCTCGGAACGATTTTCTGGCTGTTATGAACAATGAGATGAGAACTCCAATGCATGCAATCATTGCTCTTTCCTCCTTGCTCCAGGAGACTGACCTAACACCTGAGCAGCGATTGATGGTTGAAACAATTCTTAAGAGTAGTAACCTTTTGGCAACTCTAATTAATGACGTTTTAGATCTTTCCAGGCTTGAAGATGGGAGCCTTCAACTGGAACTTGGAACTTTTAATCTTCACTCTTTGTTCAAGGAGGTAAGGTTATGTGATCCTGCTAAAGATATATGTGTGTCCGTGTTGTTCTCACCTTGTAGTTTAAAGGTGATATTCTGCTAGGTGTTTTTTCCTGTAATAACGTGGTGTTTCTTATTGCAGGTCCATAATTTGATAAAGCCCGTAGCTTCTGTTAAAAAGTTGTTGGTTACATTAAATTTGGCCCCAGATTTGCCAGAATATGCTATTGGCGATGAGAAACGCCTAATGCAGGTTATTTTAAATGTTGTTGGTAATGCGGTGAAATTCTCAAAGGAAGGTAGCATCTTGATCAATGCAAAACTAGAATCTTTAAGAGATTCTCGAGCACCTGATTTTTATGCAGTCCCAAGTGATAGTCACTTCTACTTGCGTGTGCAGGTTTGTCCAATTGATGCATAGTTGCATGCTAGTCTGTAGAATGCTTGATGTTGTAGCATTGAAATTTGATTATGTGTAACTATCCTCTCTTTGTATAGGTGAAGGACTCAGGATCAGGGATTAGCCCTCAAGATATCCCAAAGTTATTTACGAAATTTGCACAAACTCAATCTTTGGCAACCAGAAATTCTGGGGGTAGTGGGCTTGGCCTTGCTATTTGCAAGAGGTACTTTATTCTTTGCTTTGGACATGGGTGGCTTTGAGCTTTCCTTTTACAAGTGATAAATTTACTTTCTCTTATAAAAAAAGTAATGTAATTAATCTCAATTATTCTTCTTTTCCTGCTATTGAACTTTCCCTAAGTTTTTGTACCATGATTTTAATCTTGCATGTTTGTTTTTATCAATATATCATCGAATGGCATTCAGGTTTGTGAATCTCATGGAGGGCCATATTTGGATAGAAAGCGAAGGGCTTGGCAAAGGATGTACTGCTATTTTTATTGTAAAACTTGGAATTCCAGAGCGCTCAAATGAATCGAAGCTCTCTTTCTTGCATAAAGTGCCAGCCAGTCATGGACAGACAAATTTCTCGGGACTTAAAGTTCTTGTCATGGATGAGAATGGGTTAGTAACTTTGCAATTATTTTTAGTTTATTTAAGAAGAAATTTTAATCTTTATTTCAAAATTTAAACTACATATTATATTTTTCAAAAACAAAAAATAAAAACAAAGGACATTAACAAGGCACCATAGCAGTGCCACTTATGTACTAAAACAAAAAAACTATAAGGTGCAGTCTAAAGCCTCAGTCTGCTGTCAATCTTCTATGGCTCTAACTGTGATCTCCTCTCCTAGTTTGCTGCCTCCATCCCGGCCCATGAGCTTGACCAAATAGAATCTAGACTCATAAATGAATTCTCATACCCTTCAAGCATCTTTCTATTCCTGTCCTGGATAGCTCGGCAAATAGAGAGAGAATGATAGCCATTATGTTGCCTATATGCTTAGAACAACAAGAGATGCCCAGTCAAAGATTAAACCCATTAGATATTGTTCTCTGATAGTTTTATTTCAAACAAAATTAATTGTTTTCTTATAGTCATTAGGTATCAATAACCTGGATTTGCATTATAAAGATCTCCTTGCTACACTAGTTGGGTATGCTCGAGGATTGAACTACTTGGAAAGATCTTGGGGATTGAACTTCTGGGAAAGATCTTGAGGATTGAGCTACTTGGAAACAGCTTGGCAACTGAAAGCCTTCTTGATATTCAGAAGAGAAGTGAAAATCACGGTAAACCTGTGCCTATGATTTTCGGCAAAGTAACAATCCTTTGGAGAATACACAGTTTCTTGAGGCTATAGATGATACCTCTTTTAGAAAGTGTTTGAAAATGCTCAAGTGCATCACATCCTTGATCTAGATATCACGTATTGGGTGACTCTTTTCTCTAATTACTACTGGAGTAAGAGTCGGGAAATTGAGTTTACATGAAGTTTCTAACATTGCCAGCAGTTGCCCTTCTAGTGTTTCACTCCCCCCTCAAACGAAAGTTCATTTTGATATGTGGGATATCTGATGCTGTATCGCCACTGCTTCATGGTTTGCTTGACCTTTGAACTGAGATTGCTTCTGCCCTGCAGTGGCCAGGCAAAGTGTAGGCATACAACCAAACATTACTCCTTATTGAGTTGCAATGAGTTGGGCGGGTTGTCCCCTGTTAATACTACGTGGTCTGTTGGCAGGGCAGTTTTCAGCCTATGCTCTTACATATTCAACCCCATGAACTACCAAATTGTATGAAGCATTAGTTTTGATGAAGTATGCCTTGTTCGTGAGGCTTGATAGCTAGGATGAGGTGGTTTTTGATTGTTTGCATGAACCACATGAATCGGTGTCAAATGCTGCAGATTATAAACAGATTGTCCAACAGCTAACAACTTTTCAGTGGAGTAATCTTTCTATATTTTACTTGAATTGGACGCAGAAATAACTTGAAATCAAAACACTGTTTTTTTAAATCTTTATATCATATGGTATTCTCATTTCTAACCTAACCTTAAAAATTGAATGAAGCTTAACCCTACAACTTATCTTTGGGTTATTTTTCACTTTGCCTCTCTCTAAATTACAGAAATATTGTTTTGTTGTATGTCACATAATTTAACGTTGGAGTTACTTATGGGTTACAGGGTTAGCAGAATGGTGACTAAAGGACTTCTATTGCATCTGGGTTGTGACGTGACGACTGTGGGCTCAGGCGATGAGTGCTTGCGTGTAGTTTCTCAAGAGCACAAAGTGGTGCTGATGGATGTGTGCATGACCGGTATAGATGGGTATGAAATTGCCGTTGGCATACAAGAGAAATTTGGAAAGCATCATGAAAGGCCATTGCTGGTGGCGCTAACAGGAAACACTGACAAAGTGATCAAGGAGAACTGCTTGAAGGTTGGGATGGATGGTGTTCTATTGAAGCCTGTATCGCTGGATAAAATGAGGAGCGTGTTGTCTGATCTTCTCGAGCATCGGGTACTACTCGATTCTAGGTAAAGGCATGGATGAACAGAGGGAAAATGTCCTTATAGTGGCAGTAGAAAGAATTATTTTGTATAAGGAGTTTACGCAAATGTAGTATTCCTTATATACTCCAGTCTTTCTCATGGTAATAATGGAAAGGAATACTACGAGGGCGTATGCACGTTATATGAAATAATTTTTCGAACAATAATTTTGTGTACATACAACAGGATATTAGGGCATTTCAGTCCAGCCAGTGTATCGCCGGCCGGCCGCAAGTTGATTTGTTGCGATAAGAACTTGTTATATAAGAGGTTGAAGAGATGGTTAAAAAAGAAGAAGAGGTTGGGGGGGGAAACTACGGATTCGTTTTTGCTTTTTAATTTATACTTGTTGAAAACGAGGGTTTGATATTTTCAGTACCTTTGTAATATTATGTTCCTCTATAATTATGGAAGTTGGATGTTAAAAATATTTTTTCAGTGTTTGTTCTTAATATTTATGTATTAATAGTAGCAGTATTATGTTAATTTTAAAAGAACAAAAAATTATTTTTATATGTTATTTTTGGAAAATATATAATACTACATATATAATTGCTTTATATGCAAAGATTTGTATTTAAAAAATAGATGATTGTTTTTTACGTAAAAATAACCATTTGATTATTTTTCTGAAAAAAAAAAAAAAAAATCATGAAGTAATCACGAATGTATCGGTGTGTTATCTTTTCCCACCAACTTTAAACGACGTCGTATCTATCTTCAACCCCTCTTCATAAACAAAAGCAGACAACTCCCCCCAACCCATCTGCGAGCCACCATTTCAAGGGGGAGAAATTTTGTAGTACGAAGAAAATAGGGGTTTCCGGAAGTGGGAGCTCTGGTAATAAACGAGACTAAAATAAAGAAGACGAAGGATGTTGTACAGAGGGTAAGAGAAAATGTTTACTTACTCTATCTTTCGAGGTTCTCTTCTCCGCAGATTTTATTGTTTTTGTTTCCTAGTTCGCGCAGTTGGGTGTTGTCGGGTTGTTTGCTTTTCTTCCCTTATTTTGAATGCTTCTTCCCTCATTTTCTCCCAAAATTCTGTGATTTTCATCTGATTTTATAAGTTAATTTGCTATTTGGTCGTTAATCCGATTTTCTCAAGGCATGTGCTTGTATTTCTTTATCTTAGGTTATTTCTTCACGTTTGAATAGCTTAAAACCTCAAAGATATAGAGACTTCTCCAATGTAATCGACTTAATATTTTATTTTATTTTTTTCAAGAAGAGGGGATTTCCTTTGGATTATGATTTGTGAATCGTGTAGCTCTATCATTACCAGGTAAGGCTTTTAGGGTTTTATATAATGGTGGAGAAGAACCTAGCACATCAATAAACTGAAAACTAATATTAGCTAAATACTTCTTTTTTCAATTGGTTGTTTGCTTAATTTATTCTTTACTTAATTTAATCTTAGTTTACCAAGTGGAATGCATCGATGCTGATTGTGTTATTTACTGCCGAGAGCTTGATATGACAGGTGATTCTGTGGATCACTTTAATTGACATGAGCTAACAGGGAGGACACAATTATTAGTGGGTAATCTATAAACAAGGGTGAATCTAATTACTTTTATTTAGGCAGTTAAGACTATAGATGCTACTGGTAAACAATATTCTGATACGAGTTTGTGTAATTGCTCGTGTACTTATCAGACTATATAGCTTGTTAATAGGTGATGCTACCAGTTTAAAGCTCAAAATGTTCCGTAATTGTTTGGCCTCCTACTTGGGAAGATGTTCAAAGGCAATCTTATCTTGTTAGGATGCTGTTGATACTGTGGGTTTCTCATAAAGTTGGATCTAGACCTTGAGAATTCACCACTAATCAGTAGTGACTCCAGGTCCTATCAGTTTAAGTTGGAAGTCACTAAACACAAATTATGTCTGTCCTTTTTTTTTTTTGAAATAAAAGTGTGGAGTTGTATTGATGTTAGAGTGCCAAGGGGGCACAGCCCATTTACAATGTATTTACAAGTCGATTAAACTATCGACAAAAAAAATCAAAATCATCAAGACAATCGATGTTATGACCCAAAATAGTGAAACCAACAATCAATGAGTTTATTAAAATCAAGTTCTATTCCTTCAAAAGCGCAATTGTTTCTCTCTTTCCAAAGGACCCATATTATGGTGAGTGGAATTAATCTTAACATTTTCTTCTTGCTGCTGAAGCCTTCCCATGCTAGGAGTTCAGCATGAATGTTGTTGTTCATGACCCAAGACAGCCCCATTAGACTAATAATGGTGTACAAACTATGTCTGTCCTTGTTGTGGGATGAAAACAATCTCTGAATTGTTTTGTCTTGTTTGATTTCGTATCAATATCGAAGAAGCTTGCAGAAGTAATGTTTTAATTGGGGCCAAAAATGCTATTTAAAACTATCTTTACCTGAGAAAGTTTTTGCTCTTGCCCTGGAACAAGGTGAAGAGTTTGCTTGGTCAGGAATCAGGACAGGCCTGAATGGTAAATATAGACCATCCAGAAATGCCTGATCCGTGATACTAGGTTGAGGTGTTTCCTCCTTCAGGGCACAATCAGCAGGAACTGAAAATAGTTGACTTGGATTTAGTTTTTATATGCTACAAACATATGTAGGTATTAGAACATTTGGTGAAAGATTGAAATTTTTGGAGTATGATTTGTTTTATCAGTTCCAACTTTAATGCTTAATTCAAAGTTTTGGTTATTTGCTTCCAGATCACTGTGTCATAAACTTTCTTTAGTTTTAATATGAGTAGCTTCTATTATTATTGTAATGTTCAAGAGAAAGTTAACTTCTGAAGTACAAAAGCAAATTCCACCTGGATACCAAGAGGGAACCTTGTTGACTTGTAGTTTAATTCCCTTACATATGTTCCATAATGATGAGAGAGTTTAATCATTTTTATTATGTC